CGAGGTCCTAGCAGACGTCCTCTGTCGCCCGCCTTGTCGCCCGTCCCTGGCGTGATGCCCCGCGAGGACATCGAGGCACTCGTCAGAGCAGAGTCGATCGACAGTCTGCGCACCCAATCACAGAAGGCGGCGGGCCGCCCCGCCCCGCGGCGTCTCTTCACACCTCGACACCGTGAACGCCGTCAAGCAAGCGCCTTCTCACCGCCCCAAGGGCGCTCGGCGCCGTGCTAACAGCGCCGAGCGTGTAGCGCAGCACACGCGCGATGCGCCCACTGAGCCGCGTCTGATGACTCGGCGCCGCAAGCCCTATGCGAGTCGAAAAGTGTGAGAATCGTCTCTTTACACCTCCAAGCCGCCAAGTCGATTTTCGCCGTCAAACCGCTCTAGCGGCGCTGCGCGCCGCGCTAACGGCGCCGAGCGTATAGCGCAGCACTCGCGCAGCACGCCCCTTGCACGGCGTCTGATAAATCGGCGTCTCGAGCCCTATCCGAGTCGAAAAGTGTGAGAACCGTCTCGTCACACCTCCAAACAAAAGCCGCTAAGTCTTTTTTCCGCCGTCACGCCGCTCTAGCGGCGCTGCGCGCCGCGTTGAGAGCGCGGCGCGTGCAGAGGAGCACGCGCTGCGTACGCACCGCGAAGGGCATTTCTTGAGTCGTCGCCTCGAGCCCTATTCATAGCAAAACGTGTGAACGGCGTCTCTTCACACCTTGAGCCGTGAACGCCGTCCGGCGCCTTCTCACCGCCCCAAAGGCGCTCCGCACCGCGCTAACAGCGCCGCGCGTGCAATGCAGCACACGCGCGAAACCGGTTGCGACACGCCCCTCGCACGGCGTCTGATGAATCGGCGTCGCTAGCCCTATCCGAGTCGAAAAGTGTGAGAACCGTCTCTTCACACCTCGGAGCCGCTAAGTCATTTTTCCGCCGTCAAACCGCTCTAGCGGCGCTGCGCGCCGCGTTGAGAGCGCGGCGCGTGCAGAGGAGCACACGCTGCACACGCACCGCCAAGGCCGTCTCTTGAGTCGGCGAGCCGAGCCCTGTTCATTGTATGAAGTGTGAACGGCGTCTCTTCACACCTCGACACCGTGAACGCCGTCAAGCGCCTTCTCACCGCCCCAAGGGCGCTCCGCGCAGCGCTAACGGCGCCAAACGTGTAGCGGAGCACTCGCGCGACACGCCCCTTGCACGGCGACAGATGAATCGGCGCCTCGAGCCCTATCCGAGTCGAAAAGTGTGAGAACCGTCTCTTCACACCTCAAAGCCGCTAAGTCGATTTTCGCCGTCAAGCCGCTCTGGCGGCGCTGCGCGGCGCGTGGAGAGCGCGGCGCGTGCAGAGGAGCACACGGTGCGTACGCACCGCGAAGGCCGTCTCACGAGTCGGCGAGCCAAGCCCTGTTCACAGCATGAACTGTGAACGGCGTCTCTTCACACCTCGAGCCGCGAGCGCCGTCAAGCGCCTTCTCACCGCCCCAAAGGCGCTCCGCGCCGCGCTAACAGCGCCGCGCGTGCAATGCAGCACACGCGCGACACGCCACTTGCACGGCGTCTGATAAAACGGCGTCGCGAGCCCTATCCGAGTCGAAAAGGTGTGAGAACCGTCTCTTCACACCTCAAAGCCGCTAAGTCATTTTTTCGCCGCCACGCCGCTCTAGCGGCGCTGCGCGCCGCGTTGAGAGCGCGGCGCATGCAGAGGAGCACACGCTGCGTACGCACCGCGAAGGCCGTCTCTTGAGTCGGCGAGCCGAGCCCTGTTCACAGCACAAAGGTGTGAACAGCGTCTCTTCACACCTCGACACCGTGAACGCCGTCCGGTGCCTTCTCGCCGCCCCAAGGGCGCTCCGCGCCGTGCTAACAGCGCCGAGCGTGCAGCGCAGCATACGCGCGACACGCCCCATGCACGGCGTCTGGTGAATCGGCGTCGCGAGCCCTATCCGAGTCAAAAAGGGTGAAAACTGTCTCTTCACACCTCGAAGCCGCTAAGTCTTTTTTTCACCGTCAAACCGCTCTAGCGGCGCTGCGCGCCGTGCTGAGAGCGCGGCGCGTACAGAGGAGCACGTGCTGACACGCACCGCGATGGCCGTCTCGTGAGTCGGCGATCTGAGCCCTGTTCATAGCAAAAAGTGTGAACGGCGTCTCTTCACACCTCGAGCCGTGAATGCCGTCAAGCGCCTTCTCACCGCCACTAGGGCGCTCCGCGCCGTGCTGACAGCGCCGAGCGTGAAGCGCAGCACACGCACGACACGCCCCTGAACGGCGGCTGATGAGTCGGCGCCTCGAGCCCTATTCATAGCAAAAGGTGTGAATTTCGTCTCTTCACACCTCAAAGCCGCTAAGTCCTTTTCGCCGTCAAGCCGTTCTAGCGGCGCTGCGCGCCGCGTGGAGAGCGCGGCGCGTACAGAGGAGCACACGCTGCACACGCACCGCCAAGGCCGCCTCGTGAGCCGGCGAGCCGAGCCCTGTTCATAGCAAAAAGTGTGAACGGCGTCTCTTCACACCTCGACACCGTGAACGCCGTCCGGCAACTTCTCACCGCCCCAAAGGCGCTCCGCGCCGTGCTAACGGCGCCGAGCGTGAAGCACAGCACACGCGTGATACGCCCCTTGCCTTGCACGGCGGCTGAAAAATCGGCGCCTCGAGCCCTATTCATAGCAAAAGGTGTGAATTTTGTCTCTTCACACCTCGAAGCCGCTAAGTCTTTCTTTCGCCGTCAAGCCGCTCTAGCGGCGCTGCGCGCCGCGTGGAGAGCGCGGCGCGTACAGAGGAGCACGTGCTATACACGCACCGCGATGGCCGTCTCACGAGTCGGCGAGCCGAGCCCTATTCATAGCAACAAGTGTGAACGGCATCGCTTGACACCTCGAGCCGTGAGCGCCGTCCGGCGCCCTCTCACCGCCCCAAGGGCGCTCCGCGCCGTGCTAACGGCGCCGAGCGTGTAGCGCAGCACACGCGCAGCACGGCCCGTGAACGGGGTCTGACAAATCGGCGCCTCGAGCCCTATCCGAGTCGAAAAGTGTGAATTTTGTCTCCTCACACCTCGAAGCCGCTAAGTCTTTTTTTCGCCGTCAAGCCGCTCTAGCGGCGCTGCGCGCCGCGTTGAGAGCGCGGCGCGTGCAGAGGCGCACGTGCTGCACACGCACCGCGATGGCCGTCTCGTGAGTCGGCGATCTGAGCCCTATTCGTGGCACAAAGTGCGAACGGCGTCTCTTCACACCTCGAGCCGTGAATGCCGTCCGGCGCCTTCTCGCCGCCCCAAAGGCGCTCCTCGCCGGGCTAGCAGCGCCGAGCGTGTAGCGCAGCACACGCGACACACGGCCTTTGAATGGCGTCTGACAAATGTTTTTCTTCTTCTCAGCGCATCCATCTCGGCGCGTCGATTCTTCGTTTTCCGGGTTCCAATTCTTTTCCTGTGGTGCGGGCGACGGCTTCTGAGGAAGCCGTCGCCCGCGCCTCGCCTGTCGCGTGAATCGTTTCGTGCGACCGCCTTTTGTCGAAAATTCTTTACCGGCGCCTTAAAATTCTTTTTTGGTCGCGGACGGCACAGCTCGCTCGCTTGCCATTTGCTCACGCTCGCGCAGGCGCGTCGCAGCGTGCACCCCGCAACGCCTCCGCTCCGTCCACACCACCCACTGCGTAGCCATGGCATTTCCGTGTGCATGCGACGGACTCGCTCTCCTGCACTTGCCGCCGCCCTCGCCACCGCCGGTTCCGAAACTCTGCTCTGCGGCCGCCATCGCACTCACTGCCTCGCTCTGCAGGAGTCGACACCAGCGCCACCTGACCCGCACCCGCTCGCTCTCGCTCACGCTTCGTGCTGTCGCTGCTAGGGTCTTCGCTCATCGACTCGGAGCGCCGGCCGCCTCTCTCGTGCTCTTTTCGCTGTCACGTCACCTCGACACCGCGCGGTCGCGACTCTCGATGTTGCGTCGGCTCTCTCGGTCACAGCGTCACCACCCGCTGCGCCGAGCAGCAAAGGCGAGGCGCAGCCTCGCATCGGCGGTGGCCGACCGCCGTGCCGACGGAAAAAATGCCTTCGATCCCGCCGCAACCCTCCATCTCACCGCCGCCGTCTTCGCCACGAGACCGCCTCCGGCGAGCTCGGCCGGCTCTCCTCGCACACGCGGCGCTCTCGAGCGCCCCAAGCATAAAGATTGCCGGGTGTCGTTAGGGTTAGCCAGGGTAGTGTTGCGGTTAGGGTTAGGGGTGGCACACCGTCATGACGTTAGGGTTAGGATCACGTCGAGAGCTAGGGTTAAGTTAGGGTTACACGCTCCCCCGCCACGGCTCGAAGAAGGGCTCAAAAATCGATAAAACGGTCAACCTCACGAAAAAATCGCGCGCTGCGCGCGCAGGAAGAGAAAGAGAGGGAGAGAGATTCATTGCCACCGCACCCCGGCGGAGCCCGGGAGAAAGTTGCCTAGCGCAGCGAGGCAACTTTCCCGGGGCGACGCCGGCCGCGCGCGAAAAACGGCCGTTTCGCCAAAACGGTAGAGCGCGCCCCGCGCTACCGCCCCATCAAACCCGCACCGCCTGAAGCCCTCGGGAAGGCGCTCAAAACGTCGACGCGGGAGGGCGAAAATCGCCTCGCTTCAGAGCCCGCGCGAGGACGGACCCCACGCCGCCCCACGAGCGACCGGTTCGACCCGCGACCAACAGCCGTGCGGAGAATCGGCAGGAGATGTCCGCAGCCCCCAGGGTCGTCCTCGTCCGATACAACCACCGACCACCATGACCATCCCCGCGCGCGCTGCAAATCTTCAGGCCCTCTGCTCAACTTTGGACGACGACTTTATTTCGGGTGCTAAAGCAGCTCGCACGGGCCCACCTCGCCGCCCCCGCCCCCGCCCGCCCCCGCCCGCCCCCGCCCGGCAGGCCCGGCACCGCTCGCTTCCCCCGCGCACCTCACAGGGCGCCATGACACCGCCTGCCAGGCGGCCTGCAGCAGCGCGGGACAGCTGCTGCGGGTTTCCTCGCCTCCCGACGGCCACGGCGCCGCCCCGCGGTCGAAGCTCGCAAAAGTAACTTAGAAGCACGAACGAGCATTGCACAAATGCCGTATACTCTAAAGCCGTAATATAAATCAATCAGCGGTGTGTGCCCATGCCCCACGGGTCGCGCGGAGAAGAGAAACAACGCGCGGGGCCGAGAGTACCGAAATGCGAACGCGCGAGAGAAGGATCCGACCTCGCGCAACGCCGCCTTCCCCGCCGGCGCCGCGTGCGTCCTCCCTTCTCCACGCGTGCGGCACGGCTGGGGGCGCGGCCGTCGCAAAAGAGGCCGCAGGACCTCCGCGCCCTCCCCTGCGCCCCTCACTTGCGCGCCTTCTTCGCCGCCGGCGCGCCGTTGGCGGCGCCGTTGGCGGCGCCGTTGGCCGCGTCGCCCCACGGGTTCGCGGGGTCAAAGTTGCGCGTGCCGTCGCACACGGTGGTGCAGGCCCCGCCCAGCCGCGTCCTGGAGGCAGAAAACGCCGACCTCAAGGCACGAGCACGGTCGTGTGTGCAGCGCACTCAGAGCACCGTGTGAGTACAAACGGAGAAGAAGACAGTGAATACAGCCGAATGCGACCGAATACGGCTGAATACGTGTCTCTCGAGTGCTGGTTGCCGCTGCAGCAGCGCCGCGTCGATGAGGACGAGCGCGGCCATGCCCTCGACTAGCGGCGGAGTGCGAGGCAGCACGCACCTGCGAGTGTGAACAGACGAGTGTGAACAGCCGGAGAGTGTGAACAGCCGGAGAGTGTGAACAGACGGAGAGTGTGAACAGACGGAGAGTGTGAACAGCCGGAGAGTGTGAACAGACGGAGAGTGTGAACAGACCGGACAGCTCCGTGGGGTGGTACGTCGTCGAGGCTTGAGGGAGAGCTGGGGAGAGATGGGGAGAGGTGTGGATGGTCGGGGGATGCGCGCCGCATCTAGGCCTCGAGATTTGGGGAGATTTGGGGGGAGATTTGGGGAGAGATGGGGCAGAGATGGGGCAGAGATGGATCTGTTGCGCCGCATCGAGGCCTCGATCAAGAGATTCGGGGAGAGATGGGGAGAGATGGGGGAGAGATGGGAGAGATGGGGAGAGATGGGGAGAGATGGGGAGAGATGGGGAGAGATGGGGAGAGATGGGGAGAGATGGGGAGAGATGGGGGAGAGATGGGAGAGATGGGGAGAGATAGGGGAGAGATGGGGAGAGATGGGGAGAGATGGGGAGAGATGGGGAGAGATGGGGAGAGATGGGGAGAGAGGGGGAGAGAGGGGGAGAGATGGGGAGAGATGGGGAGAGATAGGGGAGAGATGGGAGAGATGGGGAGAGATGGGGAGAGAGGATGTCCCGCTTCTAGGGTCCGCCGCACGGGTCGTGCCGCCCCTTTGCCTCGAGGGTGATTGCCTCGCCGGTGAGCCGCGAGGTCTGCTGCGCCTGCGCGGCGGGGAGATCGGGCGGAGATCGGGCGGAGATCGGGCGGGGAGATGGGCGGAGATCGGGCGGGGAGATGGGCGGAGATCGGGCGGAGATCGGGCGGGGGAGATCGGGGAGATCGGGCGGAGACTAGGTGGAGAGACGGCAGAAAGTGGGATGGCGAGAGAGGCGCCCGCCCGATGGCTCTCACGTTAGCCGAGATGAGCCGAGAGGAGCCGAGAGGAGCCGAGAGGAGCCGAGAGGAGCCGAGAGGAGCCGAGAGGAGCCGAGAGGAGCCGAGATGAGAGGCGCCTGCGCGATGGTTGACACCGACTTGACGGCGATCTCCCCACATCTCCCCACATCTCCCCACATCTCCCCACATCTCCCCAGCTCTCCCCCAGCTCTCGCCTGCGCGATGGTGGACACCGACTTGACGGCGATCTCCCCACATCTCCCCACATCTCCCCACATCTCCCCACATCTCCCCAGCTCTCCCCCAGCTCTCGCCTGCGCGATGGTGGACACCGACTTGACGGCGATCTCCCCACATCTCCCCACATCTCCCCACATCTCCCCACATCTCCCCAAGTCTCCCCCAGCTCTCGCCTGTCCGATGGTGGACACCGACTTGACGGCGATCTCCCCACATCTCCCCACATCTCCCCACATCTCCCCACATCTCCCCCAGCTCTCGCCTGTCCGATGGTGGACACCGACTTGACGGCGATCTTGAAGTAGACGGGCGCTCCCGACGAGATGCCTCCGAGCGTACCGCCCGCGTAGTTGGACGAGACGCCGAGCGCGGGCCGCCTAGTACCATACCTCCAGAGTCCCGAATCCAGTGTGGGTTCAGCTCCGTGCGTGGTGCGGTACTGGGCCGCCCGCTGTCGCCGGGCTTGCCGCCGACCGGATTGGCCACGAAGGGGTCGTTGTGTGTGGAGCCTCGCATGACGGTGCCGCCAAAGCCGGAGCCGATCTCGAAGCCCTTGGTGGCCGGGAGCGACATCATCGCGTGCGCCATCTTGGCCTCCAGCCGGTCGAAGACCGGCTCGCCCAGCGCGGCCGGCACGCCGGTGCAGACGCACGCCACCGCCCCGCCGATAGAGTCCTTCTCGACCTTGACCTGCCGGGGAGATGTGGGGAGATACGGGGAGATACGGGGAGAGATGGAGTCCTTCTCGACCTTGACCTGCCGGGGAGATGGGGGGAGATATGGGGAGACACGGGGAGAGATGGAGTCCTTCTCGACCTCGACCTGCCGGATCAGCGTCGCCATCCGGCACGCCGTCGGCGGGTGCGGGCAGCGGAGCGGGAGCAGCTCGTCGGTGCGCCTGGTACCACACCTCCAGAGTATCGAATCCGGTGTGGGTCCAGTCCCTCTCGGCTGCCTCTCTGCTCCCTCTCGGCTGTACTCTCAGCTGCATCTCGGCTACATCTCGGCGAATCTCGGCGCGCCAGCTCGCGAGGTCGACGCCCTTCAGCTCCGCCTCGCCGAGCCGCCCCCCGTCATGCGTGTAGACGCCGCCCTGCCAATCCTGCGCGTGCTGGCGACACAACCGTCAGAGGCGGGGAGAGGGCGGGCGAGGCGACCAGACTAGGCCGCCGCGCGGAGCGCTCGCTCGACGGCTTTGACACGCATCCCGCTCTTCTAGGCTCTTCTGGGCTCTTCTGGGCTCTTCTAGGCTCTTCTGGGCTCTTCTGGCTCTTCTAGACTGCCAGTCCTCGTAGCACGGCATGGCGCGCAGCGCCTCGGCCGCGCCGGCCGCCGCCGCCGCAACGCCGCGCTTGGCGGCCTCCGCGACACCCGCTGCAGAGGCGCCAGCGTGCACGCCGACAAGCTTGAGGAAGGCGTCCTCCGCCGCAACCTCGGCGTCGATGTTCGCCTTGCGCCGCTCGTCGGCGTCCGCGACCTCGGCCTCCCCAACGCGATGGAAGGTCGCCGGGTCTCGAAGCATGCGCAGCGTGCCATACTCGTCCACCTGTGCGGAGGCGGTGCTGGCGGCGGCGGAGACGGGGGAGGTAGGCAAGTGTCCCGGCCGTCCCCGGCTCAGTCTCGCCTCTCTCTCTCACTCTCTCTCTCTGTCTTCCCCGCCTGTGCGCGCGTCCAGCCGACGAGGCAGCCGCCCTCGCCGCGAGGGACGGCCGACTCCGGCAGCGAGACGTCCCCGATCGACGAGACCCAGCAGCTAATCTCCGTCCCATACGTCCCGCGCAGCCACTTTTCGGCGATTGCGCCCGCCGCGACGCGGCCGATCGTCTCGCGCGCGGACGAGCGGCCGCCGCCCGAGGAGGCCTTGTTGCCGTACTTGATGAGGTAGGTGAAGTCGGCGTGGCCCGGCCGCGGGATGTCGCTCATCTCCTTGTAGTCGCCCGGCCGCTGGTCCTCGTTTGGCACAAACAGGCCGATCGGCGTGCCCAGCGTGTGCCCGTGCTCGGTGCCCGACAGGATCTGGACGAGGTCCTTCTCGGCACGCGGCGTGGTCAGGCGCGACTGGCCCGGCCGTCGGCGCGTCAGCTGAGGCTGGATGTCCGCCTCGGTCAGCGCGAGGCACGGCGGGCAGCCGTCGACGATCGCGCCGACGCCCTTGCAGTGCGACTCGCCAAAGGTCGTCACGCGGAAGACCTGGCCGAAGGTCGACATCGCCTGTGGGCGCAGCGCTGGCACGCGTGAGCGTGGCGTGGGCGATGGCGGCGAGTGGGCGGGAGCGGTGCGTGAGCGACGCGGGCGAGCCTCGTGTCGGCGAGGTCGAAGAGCTCCGATCGGTCTTGGAGGTGCCGCGTTTTCTTTTTCCAATTTTCTTTTTACGGTTCCGCGGCCGCGGGCCGCGGTGGTCCACCCTGGAACTTGCCGCGCATCTAGATCGATATAGGGCTACGCGCGCCATGGGCATGGCGGGCGACGTGCTTTCGTATCAAGAATACTCACTCTCACTCACTCACTGGACTGGGGCAAACTATCTATCGGTCCACGACTGCATGTCCACGACCAGCCTCCCCGGGTTGTCGCTCGGCAGCGTGGGCACGCCCATCGCTGCAAGGGCGCCCTCCACACGCCCTCGCAGGTCGCTAACCCGCGTGGCGGGGCGCGACTTTCCCCAGCCAGTGACGATGATGAGCCGGTCTGGCTTCGGCTGCAGCGCTGGCACGCGCTCCTCCAGCCACCACCGCAGCGCCGTCTCGCCCGCGCCCTCCGAGTGTTCGTGCAAGTCTAGCTTCGGGGCGCCGGCTTCCCACCTCTCTACCTCGGGATAGAGGCCACGCTCACAGCCCTGTAGCCACAGCTCGCGAGCAATGGCCGGCTGCGGTGACGCGACAGCGTCCAGCACCGCGTTGAAGGTGACATAGCTCGGTTCCACTGACCTCAGCGCCTCCTTAAACAGCCTCAGCGCCTCATCAAGCTGTTGCGCTGCCGCGCACGCCTGAATCGCTGCGTTGAAGCTGATCACGTCTGGTTGCACGCCGTCCTCTTGCATCTTGCTGAGCAGCGACAAGGCTTCATCGCACCGGCCAGCCTTCTCGCAGGCAGAGATGGCCGCGTTGTAGCTGATTACGTTTGGCGTCAACCCCGCGCCTGGCATCTCGCGCAGCAGCGACAGCGCCTCATTGCAGCGGCCAGCCTTCTCGCAGGCTGAGATGGCCGCGTTGTAGCTGTACTCGTTTGGTGACAAGCCTGCATCAGGCATCTCGCGCAGCAGCGACAGCGCCTCATTGCAGCGGCCAGCCTTCTCGCACGAAGAGATGGCTGCGTTGTAGCTGATCACGTCTGGTTGCACACGCGCGCCTGGCATCTCGCGCAGCAGCGACAGCGCTTCATCGCACCGGCTAGCCTTCTCGCAGGCTGAGATGGCTGCGCTGTAGCTGATCACGTCTGGCTGCACTCCCGCGCTTGGCATCTCGCGCAGCAGCGACAGCGCCTCATTGCCGCGGCCAGCCTTCTCGCACGCAGAGATGGCCGCGTTGTAGCTGATCACGTCTGGTTGCACACCCGCGCCTGGCATCTCGCGCAGCAGCGACAGCGCTTCATCGCACCGGCCAGCCTTCTCGCAGGCTGAGATGGCCGCGTTGTAGCTGATCACGTTTGGTGACAAGCCTGCATCAGGCATCTCGCGCAGCAGCGACAGCGCTTCATCGCACCGGCCAGCCTTCTCGCACGCAGAGATGGCTGCGCTGTAGCTGACCACGTTTGGCCTCAACCCCGCAGCAGGCATCTCGCGAAGCAGCGACACCGCCTCCTCCCAACGACCAGCCTTCTCGCACGCAGAGATGGCTGCGTTGTAGCTGTACTCGTTTGGTTGCACACCCGCGCCTGGCATCTCGCGCAGCAGCGACAGCGCCTCATCGCACCGGCCAGCCTTCTCGCACGCAGAGATGGCCGCACTGTAGCTGATCACGTCTGGCTGCACTCCCACATCAGGCATCTCGCGCAGCAGCGACAGCGCCTCATCGCACCGGCCAGCCTTCTCGCAGGCTGAGATGGCCGCGTTGTAGCTGATCACGTTTGGTTGCACTCCAGCACCAGGCATCTCGCGCAGCAGCGACAGCGCCTTCTTCCATTGGCTAGCCTTCTCGCACACAGAGATGGCCGCGTTGTAGCTGATCACGTTTGGCTGCACTCCCGCATTTGGCATCTCGCGAAGCAGCGACACCGCCGTCTTCCAGTCCTTCGACCTTGCGCACAGGTTGATGAGAATGCTGTAGCTGAAGACGTTTGGCTCGCATCCGGCCTGCCGCATCTCGTCGAGGATGCCAAAGGCGCGGCGGCGGTCTCCGACCCTGGCGTGAGCCGAGATGAGCTGAGTCCACTCCTTTGTGGTCCTCAGCGGCTGCAGCCTCGCCTCCAGCCGCGCCACATCCTCTCGGCGGCACCGCTTGAGATCGGCAAACAGCAAGCCTCTCTCGCCTCTCTGGCTGCGCGGTTGGGTGCTGAGCAGCCTCGGCAGTGGCGGCAGGGACGGCTGTGCGGAGCGGAGGCCTGCTAGGATCGGGGCTCGTGGCGTGGTGACGGCCGCGAGTCGAGATGACGCGCCTCGCGCCGCGCGGAGCACCACATGCATGTCTGTCCGCACCGCAACGAGTGGCCAGATTTCGCAGCGGCTAAACAAAAGAATTTCGAAGGTGTAAACAAAAGAATTTTACAACGAAACTCCCTCGCACAACACTGGGCACGGTTTAAAATCCCTGTGTGGTGGCGGCGTGCCGTCCTCCCATCCCTCCCTTGGGTTGTCTGTTTTCTTTCTTTCTTTTACACTGGGCACGGGACTGGCGCGCACTGGCACTAACACAGGTACACCACTGGAGCCGCCTAAGCGACTCCCGCGAGGACGGCGAGGCACTTAGCTCCGTGCACTCGACCGCCCTCGCCGCTGGCAGAATTGAACAAATACTCAATTCTCGAGGATGCACCCGGCGTCGTACATGTCCATCATTCCACTGTAGTAGCGTTCTCCGAGGGTCGTCATCATGTACTGCAGCTCGTCGTCTTCGAGTTCCCCGCTCCAATCCACGTCGACCCAACGAAAGACCCTCTCGCTCCCTTCGTACTGCGCAGCCCACCGGATGTGCACTCGTGAGTAGTACGTGGGTGGGTGGGGTGGGGTGGGCGGGGTGGGGTGGGTGGGTGGGATGGGGTAGTGAGCTGGCTGTGGAGATGCGCCGCCTGACTCTCAGTAAGACAGTCGGATGACGTCTGGAGGCGACGGCGATCAGGCACTGTGGCAATCAGCCTGGCCCCGATGTAACCCACGGTCGCCAAGGAGGGCACATCGTCGGCAGACCCAGAGCTAAAGAGAAGGTGGCGGCCTTTGTGCAGCGCCGCGGGCTCGGCGGCGATGCCACTCGCAATGAGTGCCAGCATTGCGAAGATAAGATTGTCAATGAGCCGTGGGGAGATTCACTGACGTCCCTCGTTTGATCGAAGAAACCCTGGCCCGCGCGGCTGCCCGCATCTTTGATTTGCTGTGTGAGTGTTGAGGTGATGCGAGCGCGCGTGCGCGCGGCGCGCGTGCCGTTTTGGGTCTCTTTTATACCAGTGATGAAATGTAAACCGACTTTACCACGCGCGCGCACGCGCACGCCGCGCTCCTCGACTCTCTCGCACCCGCCCCGAGCCACGCCCCTCACGAGATAGGCGGCTGCGACCCTGAGAGTGCGCAGCGGTGCCGCTGGCGTGCTCACCACACCCGCCCATCATTCCTGCACGCACTGCCCGGTCTGGTCGGGGCGTGGGGCGAGATCTGGCATGGCGGCGCGCTTGAACTGAGCGCCTTCGATCGTCTCGCGGCGACTGCTCGCAGGCCGGGCGGCCAGAAACTGTGCCGCTCAGCCATCCGCCGAAGCGAGCGCGCCGGCGGCGGTCCGCCGCCGGCGCGCTCGGCTCAGTGTCTTCAACCCGCCGGTGGGGAGCTCCGCTTGCGGGCAACGATTGACATGCGGGCAGCCTCGCTGTCCGTGAATCAAGCACTCTTCACGGACGATTTGATTGTGGATATGTGGAAACACCCAATCTCCCCACCCCTTATGCTGGCGTCGCGGAAACGGCGGGCTAGACGGCGGGCACAGTAGGGGCACAGAAGAAGAAAAATTTACAGATTCTTTTCTTTTCGCGCCCCTAAAGAAAGAAAGGAAGAAAAAATACCAAGTTGCGTCCTGCTTTTTCCCCTTTTGCTGTCGCGAGCCATACACGTTTGTATATGCTGGCCGACAATTCTGGGCCAGAATTGCAACGAGAAGGCATGTTGTGCGAGTATATGGGCCAAAAGCGTCGAAAATGTCCCAAAAAGCGTGTCTCGAGTTTGTGGCAGCTCCGCAGCCAGCGCGGGCTGCCGGGACGCACCGCTAGCTGGATACACGCACTCCCTGGGTCCCAGGGAGTGCGTGTATCCAACTGGAGTGAGTAGGCTCGACGCCGCGCTCGCTGTGGAGCTGCCACAAACTCGCCGCCGAGCGTGCCACCGACGGCGTCCTGGCGGAGGTGATGGAGTGTGAGACCTGAGGCTGCGGAGGTGACGCCTGAGGTACCGGCCCGTACACGGCGACTCAGCCGGCGACCGCCACGGGCTCAGACGAGACTTGTCGACTCGTTCCAGCTCAGCTTCACCGTGGTCCTCGGGCGTCTGTCGACGTCAGGACCACCCATACAGCTCGCGGGTTTGAGGTCGCAAGAGCCAAGATGGTGGCGTTTGGACATCCCAACCATCACACAAGACAGCCTGTAGGTGATGGCGGGACGGCGCAGTGTTTGTGGCACTCGGCAGTAGGCACCCGCGGCACAGCCCCGCGGTCGGCTCTCGCGGGCTGCGGAACCGGCCCCAGAAGGGGACGGTCCGGGCGAGTGTGGCAGCTCCTGCGCTAGTATGGGCACCCTCTATCACAACACTACTGATCCTGGCCATTAGAGCTGCCAGGGATAGCGTCAGGAGCCGGTAGGAGTCAAAACCCCTCATATTTGAGACATCGTGGCCCATATACTCGCACAACGAGCCAGAAAAAGAAAATCTTCTTGTGTGTGTCGTGGAGAGATACGCTTGTGTAACGTGTCGTGTGAGAGGGGGCATACCGTTGTTAGTATCGCCGAGCTTGTGCACGGCTTGTCTCCCGCCGTTCGCGCATGTGTGACTCTCGACTCTCGAGCGTTCCGGCGTGCACGACTCGTCCGTCGTCGACGCCACGACCACGCGGCCGAGACACGCGAGTACGATGTGCGAGCTCCGCAGAGTGTGTTTGGTCAACAATTGGCGTTCTCGACCGCGCCCCGTAGCCACGCACCTCTAGACTCCATAGTGCGCGGCGTCCGAGCGGAAAGGGGTGTGCAATATACGCAACACAAGGCACGCACGGCTGTTTATTTGTTCGTGCGCCGTCGTTCAGAGTCCTTGTGGGGCGCCCACGGCAAGTCACCCGCCGGGCCCAGGATGCGGCGCGGCGACGACGAGGGGCCGGCAAGCCTCGTCACTTGAAGAGCTTGTCCTTGAGCTCCGAGTCCTTCTTCTGGTCCGACTCCCACCCGTTGTAGTCGGAGAGGGTCTCCCCGAACAGCAGCCGGCCGAAGCGGATCGAGTCGTCGTCTGGCGGCTTCAGCTGCCCGTCGGCGACGAGGCCGCGCCGGTCGGCCACGGATCGCGTCTCTGTGCGCTCAAACGCGGCCGTCTGCCCGTTCGCGTCGCGGATGATCCAGACGCGCTCGCTCAGGTACGTGGTCTGCAGCTCCACCTTTGATCCGCCCGGCAGACCCGCCGCAGACGCAGGCAGCCCCTCCAGCGGTCGCCCGCTAACCAGCGCCGCGAAGATGTCGTCACCGCTCGTCGTGTCGGCATTGACCCGCGCCTCGTACGGCCGGAGGGGCAGCCCAAACTCGAAGCCGAACCGGTTGCCGCCGTCGTTGCGGACTCGGCCCGCGCGCGTGAGAAGCAGGTCGTCGACCGCGCCCGGCGCGCGGTACAGGTACTCGACAAACACGCCGTCGTCCCCCGGACCGTACACATAGTAGCGCGTCGACGCCAGCTGGAAGGAGGCGCCGCCGGGCGAGAGCCGGCTGCGCAGGTCGGGCGACAGGCCGATCTCCTTGGCCGACGGACCGCCCATCAGCGCCGCGTCGTCCGACGACGACCACAGCTTTTGCCAGCCTGGATGGGGGAATGCAGGGGGCGGGCATGCAAATGCAGTGACTCATGCAGTGAGTGAAGTGAATCGTGACAGTGACTAGCTCTGCAGTGAATCGTGACAGTGACTAGCTCTGCAGTGAATCGTGACAGTGACTAGCTCTGCAGTGAATCGTGACAGTGACTAGCTCTGCAGTGAATCGTGACAGTGACTAGCTCTGCAGTGAATCGTGACAGTGACTAGCTCTGCAGTGAATCGTGACAGTGAATAGCTCCGCAGTGAATCGTGACAGTGAATAGCTCCGCAGTGAATGCGGTGATTCACCGGGCCCAATGCGAGTGCCGTGAAGCCGCGTTCTCCCCATCTAGCTTTGCCCACCGCCCACCCACGGGATCACCCACTTTCCCGGCCCAGAGGCGGCGAAGTACTGCGAGCCGCCGCGCGACTCGAGCTGCTGGACGTACGCCGCCGCCCTCGCCCGCTGCTTCGGGCTCAGCCGCTCCGCCCCCCCCGTGTCGGAGACGAGGCCGAGCAACGCCACCTCGACCGCCGGCGACGTCACGGCGTCGCCCTCCTCAAAGAGCGTGCCGCCAAACTGGCCGCCCCGCTCGCGCGCGCCGGCGGCGCCCGGGCTGGTCGCGAGGGCCGCCTCCTCCAGCCGTACCCTCTCCTCCTCCAGGTACCGCTGCTGCTTGGCCTGGTCGCTCTCCTCTGCCGGCGGAGCAAACGCGAGCGGCAGCAGCCGCGGCAGCCACGCGGCGGCGCCGAGGCCGCCGACGATGAGGGCTCGCCGGTCGGGCGCCTCCGGCTCCGGCTCCGGCTCCGGCTCCGGCCCGGAGCTTCGCCCCGGCAGCTTGCCCAGCAGCTCTGTGAGCGCGTCTCTTCGCGGCTTCTTCTTGGTCACACGCTCGCCGCCGAGGTTCGGATAGATGCGCTCCTGCAAGCTCGGGCTCCCGGCGCGCGATTCGCGGGACGCGAGGGGCGGTGCGATTGAGCTGGATGGAGTCCAGGCGGTCGACGCAAGCACGGCGAACATGAGCGAGGCCGCGACCCCCTTCGGCACCGCGAGCCTGCGACTTTACCCGGAAAGGACAAAAAGAATTTTACGCATTCCAAGTCTTGAGGACCTGCGATGCCGTCGGAAATAACGACGCGGAGGACGCCTCGGAAGTGGTGCGGGACGCGGTGCGAACTCGGCCGTGCATGTACACAGTGAGAAAGGAGATGGCAGAAGACCCGGAGAAGAGGGAGATATCGGACCGACGGACATACGGGCACATGCGCCAGAGCGCACACGAGTGGGTGTGCGAACAACTTCGAAAGACGGTGAGGCCGGGATCGCACACGGCAGGGGTGGCGGGACGGCTGTGGAGCGAAGTGGCTGTAGCCAGCCTGAAACATCGATGGGACAATAAGATGAGTGCAGCCGCCTATGTTGGCCAAGATAGGCGGCTGCACGTGTGGGCGCGAGTACCGCTATACGCGTCTGCACGTGTGGCCGCGTATCTTGGCTAAGATACGCGCCAGCACAGAATGACACGTATCAGGCCCCGCCGAGCTCGATGCGCGGCAGCGGGTGAGGGCGGCTATTCTCCCGGTCTCGGGAACCGTACCCATACTACTCAAAAGTACAATATACTACCACAAAGCACCACTAGCGATTTCGCGCGGAGGGCGTAGTGAAGCGCTGGGGCGCTCACTGTGTGTTATTCGGGTGGGGATCCATCAGTGGTAACCGGCTTTAGTCACAGATCCAAGCTCAGACGCCACACCAACACCACAAACACGCTCACTTCGCCGCTGCTGTAGAGGGCCCCCGGGGGCCCATACTACGTCGAAGTACGGACCCGATCTCGGCCCTCACGGGCTGCCACGCGCCCGCGCGCGGCGCGGGCCGCACCGCCCATGCCCCCGGGTCACCGACCCCGCCTCTCGGCCCTCTCGGCCCTCAGGAGCGTGCGGGAGACCGGCGAGGGGCGCGCCGCGCGCCGCCTGCAGAGCCGCCAGAGGCATTGTCGCCTCCGCTGGCGGGGTTCCCGCGCGCCCGCCCGCGCCCGGACCCGCGCCCGCTGCGCCCGCGGGCTCCGGATGCGCCGCCATCCTTCTCCTTCTTCTCGATGGCAGTCCGCGTGTGCTTGTCGACGGGTCGGCGGCGTGGTCGAGGGGAAGGTCGCCGGCGGCCGCAACTCCGCCGCCGTCGCTCCGCCGGCTCTGACCGAGTATCGGGCGTTGAGGGCGGCGGCGCAAGCGGGTCTGGCGCATCTATCGCCACGAGCCTCGCGACCGCGGCCGTGGCACACCTGGCGGCGGCTCTCGAGGCCGTCTCTACGGCGCTCGACGCCGTGTGAGGTCGCCGGCGGCCGCAACTCCGCCGCCGTCGCTCCGCCGGCTCTGACCGAGTATCGGGCGTTGAGGGCGGCGGCGCAAGCGGGTCTGGCGCATCTATCGCCACGAGCCTCGCGACCGCGGTCGTGGCACACCTGGCGGCGGCTCTCGGGGCCGTCTCTACGGCGCTCGACGCCGTGTGAGGTCGCCGGCGGCCGCAACTCTGCCGCCGTCGCTCCGCCGGCTCAACCGAGTATCGGGCGTTGAGGGCGGCGGCGCAAAGCGGGTCTGGTGCGCCACACGGCCACCACCCTTGCCAGCGCCCTTGCCGCCGCCCTTGCCACCCTTTGCCGCCTTGCCTCCGCCGCGGGCGGCGGTGGGAGCGGCCTGCTGGGCTAGCATGTTGTCCTTGCTGGGGACGGGCACGTGGAACGCACGTTACATGTTTGAACGGCCTCCAGAATTCAAACAAAAAATAGCCAAGGCCTTCTCGCAACCCCTCCGACCCCCCGGGACCCGTGGGCGTCGAAGAGGCGCTCTCGGGGGGCCGTTCTGAGTTCATACTACCTCGAAGTACAATATACTGCGTCAAAGCACCGGCCCTGAGTCCGCTCCCCCGAGGCAGGCGAGGATACGCAGTCCCTCGTGTCGCGCGTGTAAGTCCCGGTTGCCGTGCGCGCCAGCGCGTGTGGCCGCGTACCTTATTAGCTAAGATACGCGCGCACGGGCGTGGGTGGGTAAAAACGGGTCACTTTGCGGGGTTTGCCCCGAGAGGGAGCTGGCCGACGACTGAAGACCGGCAGCATGCTCCGCGGCCAGCTTCCTTCCGTGCTCCCTGCGCTCGCAGCGCTGCTCGGATCATCGTCTGCCTTCGTCGTCCCGATGGAGAGCCCCCCCGTCGACCGCCTCAGCCTCGTCGCGCCATTGGGCGACGCGGCCGGCACGACGCTCCGGCTGCAAGAGCTCGCCGCGGGCCGCCCGCTGGTGCTGCATCTCTTCACGGGATGAGGCGGGTGCTGGCCCTGTGCGTCCCAGATGGACAAGTGGGCCAGCGGCAAGTATTCTGGGCGCGTGGCCTTTGTGTGTGTCAGCCTAGCTGGGCCTCAGCTCGCGTCCACTTTCGTGAAGGAGCTCAAGCTGTCAGCGTGCACCGTCGCGTACACAGAGGACAACCCCGCCTGGGGGCAGCTCGGTTGCGGTGGTTTCATTGTGTACGGCAGCGACGGCCGCATCGCAAGCCGCGCGACGGCGGCGTACCTGGAGGTGAGGGAGCGTGCGTTCCATCACGTCGAGTCGCTCCTGGACGCGCTGCTCGACGGCGCAAAGTCGAGGCCGTCGCTGCCGCCGCCGCCGCCGCCGCCGGACGCGCCCCTCGCCGTGGTGGACGGATTGGAACTCTCGAGGGCGGCGGAGACGTGTGGTGCGGCCACGCCGCAGTCGGAACGGCGCGGCGGCGGCCGCGGTGGAGACGTCGACGATCCCGTCGCATCGCCCGCAGCGCAGGTGCGTCTCGCCCCGGGACGCGTCCCGAGCGTGGGAATTGCCGCTCTCGACGACGAGCACGCGGCGTGCACGGCGGCGCTGCGCGAGCTCGCCGCCACACGCAGTGCCGCGGCGCTTGCAGAGGTGCGGCGCGCGTATGAGGCGCACTTCCGCCACGAGGAGGCGCTCCTGGACGAGTACCTCTGGAACGCGGCCGCAGCCGCCGCAGGCGGCGGCGCGGCGGCGGGCGGCGGCGCGGCGGCGGGCGGCTTCGATCTTCGCGCGTCGATGCGCCGGTCCCACTTTGCCGACCACGCGCGGCTCCTGCGCGAGGTGGCGGAGCCGGCGGCTGAGGACGTGCCGCGGGCGGGCGCGACGACAGGCGGCGAGGCGAGGCCGACGGGAGGCGAGCTAGGAGGCGAGCGGGCGCGCGCGACGGCAGGCGGCGCCGCGCGCGAGGAGGGGCGTTCCGTGGTTTCGCGCGAGCTGGTGGAGCGCGTGCTGCGCGACTTCGAGGCGCACGCCAGCCGGTACGACTACTCGTACGGCGCGGACCTCGGCACGGCGCTGCGGCGCGCCGGCGAGTCGCCCGCTGCGGTCCTGGCCGCCGCGGCGGGCGGCGTGGAACAAGGCGCGGTCTCGACGGCAGCCTTGTGAGTCGACCTTGTGATGAGTCGACCTCCGCAGCGAGTGAGCGTGCGATGGCGCGACATATGATGGCGGGCCCACCGAAAGCACGGCCACGCGCCTGTGATGGCCGCCGGAGACGCACAGGGCGCACCGCGCCAGGCCTGCCTTCGGGGCAGGCAGGCGCGCGCTTGTGTGCCATCGCATGAACAGGTAAGACTGCACAGGTAAATTTCTCCCCCCACACACAAATTGGTGGGCAGGGGGGGGCGACCCGCGCATCTCCACACCCGGACACGGGCGCAGAACACAACAGTCAGCACTGAGCCCTGGCCTCGACACCTCGACACCAAACCGCCTCGAGACACCAACTCGACACCTCGTCCTCGAGCTGGGAGCTCGACACCCCATGCCAACTCGACACCCTCGACACCCCTCGACACCATCTAGGCTGGTACCATGCTCGCCGGTGTCAAGGTGCCCATATCGACACCTCGACACCCCTCGACACCCGAGAGGTTATCAGTACTGCTATGTATACGTACCGGCCCTGTATATGCACCCGTGTGTCCTGCCTATACGATGCATTGGCAGGGTCAGACGTCGCGCGAATGCATAGTCCATAGCGTGTCTTATGCAATACGTACGATGTTTTTGCCTTTATGTCTCAGCAAACAGTGCAGCGCTGCCGATGTCGCACTGGCGCTATGTGCTACGCATTAGCCATTTACGTATCGTCCGCATTATGCATCACTCAGCATAAGCGGGTGGGGAGGCCCTAAAACGGCGGGAGGGGTAGGGCTATATCGATAGAGCTAGAGGGCTCAACCACCCCTCCACCCCTCCACCCTCCACCCCTCCACCCTCCCGGAGCGAGAGGGGTCCGTCCTCGAGCCCTCCCACTTCCACCCCACCGACCAGAGGGCTCGCCAGCCCACAGGGCTTGAGGGGTCCCCGTCGGATCGGCGTCGGGAGGGCTCCACAGGGTCCCATAGGGCTAGCGCGCTGCGAGGGTGGAGCGGTCCACCGGGGAGAGGGGTCAGGAGGGCTGGGCGAGGCGGGAGGGGTGGTGGGGACTGGGGTCCAGGAGGGCTCGCCGCCCCCCCAAGAAAGAAAGAAAACAGACAACCCAAGGGAGGGATGGGAGGACGGCACGCCGCCACCACACAGGGATTTTAAGGAGAGGTGTGTGGTGCGCTATCCGTCGCCCACCCTAGGGAGTCTGAATCAACGTGACGCCCGTCCAAACCTCTTGCAATTCTTTTTTCGACGAGTGCCTTGAGGGTGTCGCCCGGCTTTCATGCTCGGCCTCAGCGGCCTGGGCTCAGCCCTTGTTCTCTCCCCGTTCTTACTCCCCGACGCGACGGCGCTCACAGCGCCCTCCGCTGATCAGAGGCGACATCTTCAGAACATGGCCCGGATGGCGATGACGTCGCCCGCCGGCGAGAACAACCACATGCGCCCGTCCACGCCGCCGAAGTCCGGCCCGGCAGAGCCGGCGGCCAACTTCGACTCGCTCAACGTCGCGCTCAAGCACCACGTGCCCATCAGCACGTGTTGCAGCGGCGTGTACGGCAGCGACATCTGGGGCTACACGTCGGCGGCCACCGGCAAGGAGTGGGCGCTCATGTGCTACATGACGGGCTTGAGCGCCGTCGACGTGCAGACGGCCGCCGTGGTCACCGCTCCGAGCTTCACGTCGCCGAGCAGCTCGTGGAAGGACGTCAAGGTCTTCGGCCATCACGCGTACTATGTCACCGAGGCGTTGGACCAGCCGGGCATCGTCGTCTTCGACCTCTCGGGCCTGGACTCCGACCCACCGTCCATCTCCGTCGGCCCCGCGGCCATTGACAACGGCGGCGGGCCCGAATCGAGCCACAACGTGGTGGTTGACGAGGTTAGCGGCTACCTGTACCGCGTCGGCGGCTGGAATGACAACAAGAACGTGCGCATGTACGACCTGAACGCCAACCCCGCCGCGCCGCAATACATTGGCAAGTTTGGGGAAGGCTACGTTCACGACGGACAGGTGACCACGTTCGCGTCGGGGCCGTACGCCGGCAAGCAGATCTTCTTCGCGGCTAGAGCTCTATTATGGGGATGGGGGGCGCGGCTGCAGATCTGGGATGTGACCGACAAGAGCGCGATCGCCCTGCTCGGCAACGGCACTTGGCCCGGCGCTGTGTACTCGCACAACGTGTGGGTTGACATCGGCACGATGCGCGCGTACGTGGGCGACGAATTACTCTCATACAGCTCAGGGGCGCCCACCACGATCTTCGAGTTCAACGTCTCCGACCTGAGCAGTCCCTCATTCCTCACTTCGTTCACCAACGGCGTCGGCGCCATCTCGCACAACCACATCTGCCGCAACGGCCGGTTGTACGTCGCCAACTATGCCTCGGGCATGCGCGTCTTCGACCTAAGCTCGCGCTCGGAGATGGGCTACTTTGACACGTACCCCGACGGCGACGGCACGAAGAACTGGAACGGCGCGTGGGGGACCTACGTCTTCCCCGCGAGCGGCCTCGTCGTCGTGTCCGACCAGAACCGCGGCCTCTTCGTCCTCGAGGACTTGGGCAGCTCGGCACCGTCGCATCCGCCGCCACCCTCGCCGCCGACGTCGCCGCCACCGCCCTCACCGCCAACTGGCTGTGCATGTGCAGTGAGTCACCCGTACTGCTGGGGTATCCACAGCGGCGAGCAAGCGAGCGGTGACTTGTACTGCTACGAGAGTGCATCATCGTCGAGCTGGCATGACACCATCTGCCCAGGGACATGCACGTCAGACTACGTCTCTGACGCAATGCCGCCGCCTCCCTCCGCATCACCGTCGCCGCCACCTCCTTCCGCCTCGCCGTTGCCGCCGCCTCCATCCGCCTCGCCGTCGCCGCCGCCTCCGTCCGCCTCGCCGTCGCCGCCGCCTCCGTCCGCGTCGCCGTCGCCGCCGCCTCCATCCTCTTCGCCCTCGCCGCCGCCGCCGTCGGCGTCGCCCTCGCCGCCGCCTCCCTCCGCCTCGCCGTCGCCGCCGCCTCCCTCCGCCTCGCCGTCGCCGCCACCTCCTTCCGCATCACCCTCACCGCCGCCTCCCTCCGCCTCGCCCTCGCCGCCGCCTCCCTCCGCCTCGCCATCTCCGCCGCCTCCCTCCGCGTCGCCCTCGCCGCCGCCTCCCTCTGCCTCGCCGTCGCCGCCGCCGCCGCCCGCCTCGCCATCTCCGCCGCCTCCCTCCGCCTCGCCGTCGCCGCCGCCTCCCTCCGCCTCGCCGTCGCCGCCGCCTCCCTCCGCCTCGCCATCTCCGCCGCCTCCCTCCGCATCACCGTCGCCGCCACCTCCTTCCGCCTCGCCGTTGCCGCCGCCTCCCTCCGCGTCGCCCTCGCTGCCGCCTCCTTCCGCCTCGCCCTCACCGCCGCCCCCGTCCGCATCGCCCTCGCCGCCACCTCCCTCAAACTCGCCCTCGCCCCCGCCCCCGTCCGCCTCGCCCTCACCACCGCCTCCCTCAACATCGCCCTCGCCGCCGCCGCCGTCCGCATCGCCGTCGCCGCCGCCGCCATCCGCATCGCCGTCTCCGCCGCCGCCGCCCTCGCCGCCGCCGCCCTCGCCGCCACCGCCCTCGCCGCAACCGCCCTTGCCGCCGCCGCCCTCGCCGCCACCACCACCGCCGACCTCGCCCTCGCCGCCCTCGCCGCCACCGCCCTCGCCGCCGCCGCCCAACCGGCCGCCGCCCAGCCCGCCGCCGCCCTCACCGCCGCCCGCATCGCCCACCGGCGTCTGCGGCGACGGCAGCGTTCTCGACGCGTCGTCGCGGATGTGCGAGGTCTCGCTCGGCAACGCCACCGAGGTGATCGACGGCAAGGTCGAGGTCGTGCTCGGCAGCGCCACCGAGGTGATCGACGGCAAGGTCGAGGTCTCGCTCGGCGAGGGCACCGACGTGATCGACGGCAAGTGCGAGCTCATCAGGCTGGGTGACTTTGACGGCGACGGTGTCTTCCGTCTTGCCGACGCGGCGTTTGTCTCCAAGGTTTGGCAAGGCAATGAGCAGTGGCCGGTTGCGGGAGGGCGCCGCGCTCGGCGCTCGCTTGAGAGCACCAGCACATCGGACGACGGAGTCGATCTCCTTGCGCTCAAAGACGCTGAGCTCGAGCGCAAGGACGCGGAGCTGTTGAAGCTTCGCGCGGAGCTGTTGAAGCTTCGCGCGGAGCTGTCGAAGCTTCTCTCGAAGGTCAAGGAACTAGAGGCAGAGCACCGGGTGGTGGTCGGCTGACAAGCAAGTGTGCCCGCACACGGTGCGCCACAAGCGTGCTGCCCCGCGCCCCGCGGATGATGCACCCCATGCTGCTCTATCGTCTCTTTCTCTGTCCTCTGTGGTTGCTGCTCTTTGTCTTTATCCTTTGTGGTCGCTGTAGTGAAGTCTGTAGTGAGCCCCTCAGACACGCTCAGCCCGGTCAATCTCTGCCGTCTAGCAGCGCGGCATCGCCCTTGTCGGCGCGACAATTGTACTAGGTTCACGGTCTCTTTGGCGTTTGTTTGGGGCGAAGGTTCGTAAAACGGAAGGTGCGAGAAATGAAATCGAAAAGCAGATAAACGGACCTGGAACGGATTGCGCTTGTCTCGTCCGGCAGCGAGTGGGTGGCTGGGTGCGTGTCGGTGAACAGCCGCGCGAGGTTGGATGGCGTGTACGACCTCTTGACGCGCTCGACGTCGACGTTGGGCAGGTCCTCAGCTAGCGCGTCGACGCGGAGGGCGTTGTCGACACCACAGAAGAGGCCCGGTTTGGTGTTGCGCAGGCAACGGTACCCGAACCAGGTGGACTCGACGGCCCCTCCGAAAAGGTTGTACTCGCCGACGCCCTCGCTCGAGGACTCGATCAGGATCGACTTGGAGTAATCAAGATCTCTACGAGAGAGTAGTAGATCGCAGACAGTAGATCGCAGACCAGGAGTGGAGATCCTAGCCGATTCTACCACACAGTCGGGCTTGGTTGAAGATGAAAGATTGAGATCACAGATTGTGGATCGTGTTGGCAGTTGCCAGGGTCAAAGGTGGAGATTGGAGATGGAGAACACAGATCGTAGATCCTCGCGCCGGGCATCCACCGCCGGGGCGGAGATTGGAGATCGAGATTGGAGATTGGAGATCGCAGCTGGCGGCGGCAGGGGTCAAATGGGAGATTGGAGATCGGAGATCGGAGATGTGCGGTGTGAATGAATCCAGCGCATCTCCTTGAAGGTTCGAGCCCCCCCCCCCCCCCCCGACCCCCGAATCGAGATTGGAGATTGGAGATTGGAGATCGGAGATCTGACTGGATCCGGCAACATATGACGTTGGGAGATTGGAGATTGGAGATGGAGATCGGAGATCTGACTGGATCCGGCAAAATATGACGCTGGAGATTGGAGATTGGAGATGGAGATCGGAGATGATTTTTTATTTTTTATTTTTTATTTTTGGCCCGAAGAGCCTGCGGCGCCGGTTTTAACCTCTCCGGCCGACTCGCTGCGCGATTCTCGCTACGGCCCGCGGCGGGGCCGCACCCAGCAAGCTGGGGCCGCTCCTCACGGACTCGGCGCTGACGCGCCTCAAAGAAGACCACTACTCGGGCTTGGCTGCGCCGCCCTCGAAGATGTGTCGACGCAAGATTGGAGATGACGCCGCTGCCATCATCTTTTTCTTTTTTTGATAATAAAAAGCTCACTACACATGGTTCCCCCACACCGTAAAGTTAAAACCGGCGCCGTATCTCGACGAATGCCAGTCTCGGTCTGTACGGCAAGCTCGCTCTCGCCAGGTGTGACGCGGAGGCGCTGCGTTGCCAGCTGGCAGGAAACACGCTGGCCACCATCAGGCAGATGGATCACATGGCGGCGTCGGTCCAGGACCACGGCCCGCGCGCAATCACACTCGACCTCCTGCAGGACTGGGTGGCCGACTTTGAGGGCACTCTGCTGCGGGTCCTCCGCTTTTGCGGCCTCGACGACGGCTTCGCGAATGGCACGCTAGCAGCGTACAGGACCGCGGCCGTCGCATCAAAGGGGGTGCACGTCAACAAGGACCTGGACCGAGCAGAGGCGCTCGCAAACCTGCTCCGCCGGGCGTGCACCACCCCCGCTGGCGAGCTCGACATGGAGTGGTGTGCGACCGGCGGGCGCTTTGAGGAGTGCGGACCGAACGTTTCCTATCACTGTAAAGGAGAGCTGCGCAGCTCCTGTTGAGATGCGTGCTAAAGTACACCACTTTTCTGGCACACAAATGGGGGAGAACGAAATCGGGCATGGCACATTCGCACAAGACGATGTACAGACGGCGAGACAAACTGCGGTGGAAGCGGCGGCGGTCGAGATCTACAAATACCTGGGCACCCCGATAACCGCTCAGTGGCAGAAGGGGATGGAACCGGCGAGACAAAAAACGAGGAGGGATGCGACGCGGCTAATGAAAATGGTGGGCGCGCTAGGCTGGCGAGCGAGCTGCGCAGGCCGCTGATCCCCTTGAGGCGGTCCCCCTGAGGCGCAGGCCGCTGGACACCGTCACCGACGAGCGCGTTGGAGTATTCACTTCGGACAAAAACGCGGCACAGCGGACGGTGCGGGGCGTGCCGCAAACTTAGCGGCGAGGCGCGGGACCGTCTGTGGCGAAGTGGGTCGCGTCCCCCGATTTCCTCAACTCACGGTCCCCTCTTCCCCCGTAGCACTAGCAGCACGGTACGCGCGCGCGCGGCCGCGGGGCCGTGGCCCGTGCCCAGCGCGGTCGACTAGCGCCGCGGATCGAGGCGGCACAACGGGTGCCCGCGACCGAAGCCCTGAGCGCGTCCTCCGATTTCCTCAACTCAGCCTCCACGCGCCCTCTACGGCTCTATACACAGTGTGCGTACAACCTCTCCACACGCCCGATACAAAGAACCCTGCACAAAGATCGCACGGGCGGGGGCCTGTTTCTTTTTACCCATCTCACAGTAGAGCTGTACGTTTTTATTTATTTATTTTCCACACGTTGCGGGCGAGCGTGTTCATGAGAGGCCGGCGGCGGCGTGCGCCCGGTCTCGACTGTTGCTTTCGGAGCGCGCGGCTGGAGAGGCGGTTTTATTTCTTCTGAGCTTAGTAGGTAGGTAGGTAGGTGTTACCTCACACGGTCTATCGCAGAGACAAGGAGGGCCCACAGCACACACACCAAGAGTACATGTGCTGCACTGGACATCAGAGGGCCAAGGGTTGGATCAAGCAGTGGGAAGGGGACTCCTCGAGCCGGCGCGCGCGGCTGGCCTTGCCGCCGCGCGCACGCCGCTTTGACGCCGCGGGAGCGATCTTCTTGCTCACCGTCAGCACGCCGCACGCCTCCTCAGAGGTTGCCCACCTCTCCAGATGTTGCGAGGACGCCACCCGCGACCCGGCAAGCGGCATGGCCGGTCCTGTCGTGGAGCGTGGAGCCTTGTGATATCTTGATGACGCTGCGACCGCGTGCAAGCACGTGAGCCCAGGATCGTGCGTGAGCACGCTCGCAAGGCGGACGGTATGGCAAGGCCAGCTCCGTGGCCGTGGGCTCAGCGAAGAGGATACAGCCACCCATTCAAGGGTCCAAAAAACACGCCCGAGTCACGACAAACTAAATCATCAATACGGCTGAGGAGGATGCGCGACTACCTACTCGCGGCCGCCTCGCAGCTACTAGGCCAAGAGCAGCGAACGCGACGGCGAGTAGCACAATCGCTGTCGTGGCGAGCGGTCGCAAGCGTCTAGAGGGGCCGCTCGAGCGCCCTTCAACGCGGAGCAACCACCAGCCTCGGTTGGCTGCCTCGGAGACGACAGGCGGTGGTGGCGGCGGCGGCGGTGGAGGTGGCGGTGGAGGTGGCGGCGGCGGCGGGGGTGGGAGGAGGGGGGGGAAGCGCGGCGGCGGAGTGTACGAGCGCAGCTCGAGCACGCCGTCGAGCGGTCCGAGGAAGCCGTCGTGCGAGGAGGCCTTCGTGGACAGCGAGAGATGGGGGAGTGAGGGGGGAGATGTGGGGAGATGTGGGGAGATGTGGGGAGATATGGGGAGACCTCGTGGGTGCGCCAGCTGAAGCCACTCGCCGCCTTTTGCTGCCAGCGGCTCGCCGCCGTTTGCTGCCAGCGGCGCGTGGTGTCCTCGGCGCGCCAGCCGAGGCGGTGCCAGCCTGCCCCGTCCCACGCGTCCCAGAAGGAGCGCTGCTCATCGACCTACCGCACCACCCACGGGACTGAACCCACACTGGATTCGAAACTCTGGAGGTATGGGACGAGCGCTGCTCGTCGACCTTGCCGTCGCCGTCCGTGTCGCGCACCTCGACGCAACAGCGGAAGCCGTCGCACCCCGAGAGTACCCGAGATTACCCGAGATTGCCCGAGATTGCCCGAGATTGCCCGGGATTGCCCGAGATTGCCCGGGATTGCCCGGGACCGCGCCTCGACGCAGCAGTGGAAGCCGTCGCACCCAGCCCACTTGGGGCAGCCTCCCTGCTGCGCCGTCGTGAGCTCGTAGCTCGTCGAGCAGCACAGCCCGCTGCCGCCGCAGAAGCCGCGGCAGGCGCCCGACGCGCCGCCGCAAGGCAGCCAGCAATCGCGCGGCGGGTGCGGGGGCGGAGGCGGCGGCTGTGGCGGCGGCTGCGGCGGCGGCGGGGAGGGCAGGAAGCGCTCGGCGTTGCGGTTCTCAAACAGCCACAGCACGCCCGCGTGCTCGCGCAGCAGGGCGTTGGTCAGGCCTTGCAGCCCGGAGAACTGGACCGAGACCGAGTCGCCGCCCGAGAACTGGACCTTTGGCGAGAGATGGGAGATGTGGGGAGATGTGGGGAGATGGGGAGTCGCCCCCCGAGAGAGCGCGACCTTTGGCGTGATTGCGCCGACGACGTTGAGGCCGCCCTCCGGGTCCGGGCCGCCGTAGCAGAGGATGGAGGCGATCTCCTGCGCGAGGACGGGCAGGAACGGGTTGAGCATCGCCTCGGCCGCAGCCTCCGGCATCAGCGACGGAACGACGTCGAGGTCGCCGATCTCAAAGTTGCCTCGGCACCGCCTCATCGCGGACGTCGTGAGCGCGTGCATGTCGTAGTCGAGCAGCATGTTTCCGCGCAGCGTGAGCTCCGCGCTGCCGTAGTCGTACGTCACCCGCATCCCGCCCACCGTCGACTGCCGCAGCGTCCACCGCCCCTCGACCCGCACGTCGATGTGCGTGAGCGCAACTTGGGCGCCGTCCGGGGCCCGCCCCGCGAGCCACTGCGTGAGCAGGTCCTGCCTCTGCCACCACTCGTAGTCGTCGTAGCACATGCCGTACGAGACTCGGACCGGCGCGATGTCGACCAGCGTCAGGTTGCGCAGCGTGACCTATCGACAGGTCCTCGACAGGTCCCGGACGTGTCCGCGGACGTGTCCGGCGTCAGGTTGCAGCGTGACCATCGCGCCGGGGCTGAGCGCGCCGCCGTACACCTCGATCTCAGTCCCCTCGAGGCCGAGCCGCTGCAGCACCGGCACGTCGTCGTTCGAGAGCGTCATCGTCAGCGCGTCCTTGCCGCGCATCCGCCGGATCTCAGACGCCGTCCACTCGGAGAGCTGCGACGCCACCGCGTCGGAAAACCAGTCCGTCTCGCATGACGGCCCGAGCTTGAGCGCCTCAGTCCGCGGCGTCGCCTCTTCGAACGGCACCGGCACGGCCTCCTTCTCATCGCGCCACGACCAGCATGTTCCGCCGAGCAGGCGCAGCGCGCACCCGGCCTCCGCCTCCGCCGCCTGCGCCTCCGCCACCACGCCCGCCTCTGCCGCCTCCACGTTCGCCTCGACCGCCTCCACGTGCGCCTCCGCCACAGCCTCGGCGTTGTGGTTCCCCACCACCACCTCAGGACGGAGGACCGAGCGCGCCGCCGCCACCATCTCGGGTCGGCGGATTGACCCGGACGCGAGCGGCAATGTGCCGACTAGGAAGGCGAGGACGGAACCCATTGGTGGGCCTTTGCGGCGCGCGCGCATTGGCAGGGGCGCGCCTGGCTGGCGGGCAGCGACTCCAGGGACACAGGGGCGGCTCTTACGCGCTGCCGCAAAGGCACACCAATGGGTTTCGTATCCTGAGCGTAGGGGCGCCTGCGATACAAAAAAACAATACTGCCATACGAGGGGTGGGGGAGGAGGACACGGTCTCTAGTTTTTTTTTATTCTTTAAAACGCCGAGCCCTCCATTACCAACACACCGCGCCAAGAACCCGAGATTCCAAGCATGCCTAGTTCGAAGAGAGATAGGAAGAACAACAAAAACAACTAGAGGCAGACACCCACAACAAGAAATCCTAGTTCCCGAGCTGCTCCTTTCTCCAAACCCTCTTTCTTGATCGCTTTATTTTTTATTCCGCGAAAGTGCCCACTTTCCCTTTTTGTGTTGATGTTCGCCAACTCGGTCTTTCGCGGCCTTCGTCGTACGTCGACGCAGGCGAGGTTCTGGGAAGACGAGTAAATTTCTTTTTACTCGCGCCCCCGCCCGCGCCGAGCCAAAGGGGCTCAGCGGGGCCGCCACCACCGGGGCGGGCGCCTGGCGGCGCCGCTGCGCAAAAAAGGACTCCCACCAGCTTCGCCGTCCGCGAAAATTACTCACGAACCGTGCCTTACCGCGCCCCCCGCGCCCCCCACACCTCGACCTTCTTGGGCAGAAGCTGGTCCGATAGGTCCTCTCCGTGGCCTAGGCAGCCGTATTCACCCTTGCCCCAGGTAAATCCAGCACCGCTGGTGGCGATTGCGAGGCTGTCTGTGGCGGGCTCCCGCCGACACAGCGACAACGCACTGGCCAGTGAAGGCCTCAACCTTTTTGGGCAGCAGCTGGTTCTGCTCGTCGCCGTGGCCCAGCTTGCCGCAGGCTCCCTGGCCCCAGCTCCAGACGCCGCCGTCGGCGGTGAGGGCGAGGCTGTGGACGATCGATCCCCGCAGACACAGCGACGACGCGATGCCCAGCCAGGGCGTCGATCTTCTTGGGCTGCGACTGGAACGGCACGCGCGGACCGTTGGGGAGTGAGACTTCATCGTCGGCCGTGAGTGAGGGAGTGAGTATTCTTGATACAACCGGTACCCGACCGCTTTTTGCAAAAAACAAAAAAAATAAAAAAATCGCGAAAGCGCGCGCCCAGCACGCCGCTACTCGCCGCTAGCTCGCCGCTAGCTCGCCGCTAGCTCGCCGCTAGCTCGCCGCTACTCGCCGCTAGCTCGCCGCTAGCTCGCCGCTAGCTCGCCGCTAGCTCGCCGCTACTCGCCGCTAGCTCGCCGCTAGCTCGCCGCGTGTTCGTCGGTCCCGCTACGAAGGCGCCCTACGGAATCATGCGGATGTTTGCCCTGCTCGCAGCCTCCGCCGCCGCGGTCCCGTCTAGGCTGGTGGTTACGACGACGAGAGGGTCGCCCGCTTCAGTGCAGGCAGCGCAGATGGCCGCTGCTCGGCGCGGAAACGTCAATATGACAATCCGAGCAGCCCACAAAACCCTCACAGTGGTCGAATTCGAGGACAACAGCACGGCGCGAGCCTTCCAGGACCAGGCGGAGCGCTCGGGGCTAAGGGTCGAGGAGGATCAGCGGCGCTTCCTAGCAACAAGCTCGGCCTCGGCTTCGCGGAAGCGGCAGCTAGCCGAGGAAACGCCATGGGGGATCGAGCGTGTGTACAACGAAGCGGTGCCGAACGCCTCCTTCTTCCCGTCGGCGGTGACGCATCCGCTGTGCATCATCGACTCCGGCTACCTGCTCGCACACCCTGACCTCCCCTCTGACGCCACCGCGGCGGACCCGTCCCAAGCTGACCAAGCCGGCACGCGTTACTTCGGCGGCGACATCTGCAACCACGGCACGCATGCCCTCTCCGCCGCCCTCTCCGCCGCCATATCCCCTCCCCGCCGTCTCTCCGTCCGCCCCCTCTACCCCACCCTCCCTCCCTCCGTCCCACCAGGCACGCATGTCGCGGGCACCATCGCCGCCATCGGTGGCAACGGGGAGGGAGTGGTCGGTGTCTATCCGGGCGCGCCTGACCTGAAGATAGTCAAGGTGTTTGGGGAGGTCGGCTTGCTCGACGACCCCAGCACGCCCGACGAGGATGAGGCGTGCGGCTGGACCTATGCCTCACAACTCGTCGATGCGGTTCAGCGATGTGTCGACAGCGGAGCCAAGATCGTCTCGAGTGAGCGTGCCTAGATCCCCTCCCCGTCTTTGACTCATCTAACACCCCCCCCCCCCCCTCTTCCGCAGTGTCGCTCGGAGGTCCGGGTCGGTCGGACTTTGAGCGTGATGCCTTCCAGACATTCTTTGATGACGGCATCCTCAGCATCGCGGCCGCCGGCAACGACGGAGATGACAGCTACAATTACCCGGGGTCCTACTCCTCGGTCATGAGCGTCGCCGCCACCGACAGCAACAACAAGAAGGCGAGCTTCTCGCAGTACAACGACGAAGTCGACATCGCTGCCCCAGGCGTCGACCTCGTCTCGACTGTCGGTGCCCCCCCTTGTCAAAAAGGCCGCAGCGCCGCCGTTTTCCCACGGTTTTCAGGGGATAATTGTTTCCTCCCTAGGCCCTCCGAGGGACACTGGGGTGGGCCCTCCGGGCTATGATTCGTCCGGGGGGACCTCCATGGCCGCCCCGCACGTTTTTGGCCTGGCAATGGTGTTTTGGAACAAGTGAGCCCCCCCCCCCTTCCCCCCCCCCTTCCCCCCCCCCCCAACCAACACCACGCCCACCCACAAACACCAGCACCAACACCACCCAGAGGTCGGACCCAAACCGCCGCATCGGACACGCCTCGCGGCCACGCAGGTACCCGTCCTATACCAACGCCGAGGTCCGCACGGCGCTTGAGGAGGGCGCCGAGGATCTGGGCGAGACGGGCATCGACGACTACTTTGGCCATGGCCTCGTCAACTACCAGGGAGCCGAGATGAGGCTGTTCACGCCATCGCCGCCGCCGTCGCCCCCGCTCGCTCCACCGGCCCCCCCAATCGAGTTCCAGGTCACCGTGGGTGGCGGCAGCTCGGAGGGAGAGGTGTCGTGGACCCTGACGTGCAGCGGCGCGTTGATCGGCAGTGGAGGAGCGCCCTACTCCGGCACTCTTTCCGCGCCGCCCGGCGAGTGCACGCTCGACATGTACGACTCGGACGGCGACGGCTGGAACGGCAACCTGTGGGAGGGTGCGGGCTATACGTTCACGCTCGACTCCGGTTCCTACGGCAGCGCGACCTTCACCCTCACCCCCCTCCCTCCGTCCTCTCCGCCGTCACCGTCCCTGCCGCCGCTGCCGCCGCTGCCGGGCTACTGCTTCGCCACCTCATCCAAGGCCGTCGTTGTCCCCATGATTGTCGGCGGCGTGCCCGTCGACCCCGCGCGCAAGTACATGCCCGCCCCGCCCTCCCGCGCCAACGCCGCGCTCCGCTCGCCACCCGCCGCCGTCTGCTGACAGGTACACCTGGCTCGTCTCGCTCGACGGCCCGGGCTACTTTATCGGCAAACACTACTGCGGCGGCACGCTCATCGCGCCCGATTGGGTGCTCACCGCCGCGCACTGCACGCAAGACACCGTCGGCCGCGTGGCCGTCGGCATGCACGTCGTCGCCGACGTGAACACCGACCCGTGCGTCTCCTTGCACGAGGTGGCGGAGATCTTCAACCACGAGGACTACGGCTCTCCCAATTCAGAAAGCAACGACGTCTCGCTGCTCAAGCTCGCCACGCCTGTAACCGGCTATGCGCCCATCGACTTGCTCGACGGCCCTGGCATGGACACGCCCTTCCAGGAGCACCTCGCCATGCTCACCGTCGCCGGCTGGGGCACCATGTCCTCCGACGGCGTGTCCTCGCCGGAGGCCATGGAGGTCGACGTGCCGGTGGTCAAGAATGAGGACTGCAACGTTGCCTACAGTGGCCAGATTGACGACACGATGATCTGCGCCGGCGACACCGCGAATGGCGGCGAGGACGCGTGCCAGGGCGACTCGGGTGGCCCCCTCTTCGGCATCGACGCCGACGGCAACTACGTGCTCACGGGCATCGTGAGCTGGGGCTCCGGCTGCGCCGACGCCAACTTCCCGGGCGTCTACGCGCGCGTCTCCCACTTTGATGAGTGGGTCTGCGCGAGGACGGACGGCGCGGTCTGTGGATTTTATCCTCGGTCGCCGCCGTCGCCGCCGGCCACGCAACAGGAATAGACGCTGCCGCCGTTCCTGCCGCCGCCCTCCCTGCCGTCATGCCCGCTCGGCGAGGTCTGCACCACCGGTCCGTGTTTGATCTCCGACGGCGGCTCGTGCGCCACCTCGCCCGACTTCCCGAACGACTACCCGAACCTCGAGGGCTGCACCATCTACAACGTGCCGCCGGTCGGGCTGGACGTGATCGCCTTTGACGTGGAGGGGGACCCCTACCCCTACTACGACTACGACGGCGACGGCGATTTCCGCAATGACTGCCCCTTCGACCACCTCTTCGTCAACGGCGTGAAGTACTGCGGCACCTCGGGCCCGGCCGGTGTCGTGCCGTCGGATGGGACCATGACGTGGGTCTCTGACGAGTTTGTCACCGAGTCGGGCTGGAAGGCGCGCGCTCCCCCCTCTGCATAGCTCTTCGCATCTCTGGCTCCCCCCACACCGCGCGCTCCTCAACTCTCGCGCTCACTCAGCCCCCGTGCCCAGCCCCTATGGCCCTCCGCCTGTCCCAGGTGTGCTGGCCGCCGTCGGCCTTGCCATCTCCGCCGCCGCCGTCCGCGTCGCCCTCGCCGCCGCCTCCCTCGACCTCGCCATCTCCGCCGCCTCCATCCGCCTCGCCGTCGCCGCCACCTCCCTCCGCCTCGCCGTCGCCGCCGCCTCCCTCCGCCTCGCCGTCGCCGCCGCCTCCCTCCGCCTCGCCGTCGCCGCCGCCTCCCTCCGCCTCGCCGTCACCGCCGCCTCCGTCCGCCTCGCCGTCGCCGCCGCCTCCCTCCGCCTCGCCGTCGCCGCCGCCTCCGTCCGCCTCGCCGTCGCCGCCGCCTCCCTCCGCCTCTCCCTCCCCGCCGCCACCGTCCGCCTCTCCCTCCCCGCCACCTCCTTCCGCGTCGCCGTCGCCACCGCCTCCCTCCGCGTCGCCGTCCCCGCCGCCTCCGTCGCCCTCGCCGCCGCCTCCCTCTGCCTCGCCGTCGCCGCCGCCTCCCTCCGCCTCGCCGTCGCCGCCGCCTCCCTCCGCCTCGCCGTCGCCGCCGCCTCCCTCCGCCTCGCCGTCGCCGCCGCCTCCCTCCGCCTCGCCGTCGCCGCCGCCTCCCTCCGCCTCGCCGTCGCCGCCGCCTCCCTCCGCCTCGCCCTCGCCGCCGCCTCCCTCCGCCTCGCCGTCGCCGCCGCCTCCATCCGCCTCGCCGTCGCCGCCGCCTCCGTCCGCCTCGCCGTCGCCGCCGCCTCCCTCCGCCTCGCCGTCGCCGCCGCCTCCCTCCGCCTCGCCGTCGCCGCCGCCTCCCTCCGCCTCGCCGTCGCCGCCGCCTCCGTCCGCCTCGCCGTCGCCGCCGCTTCCGTCCGCCTCGCCGTCGCCGCCGATCTCCCCGCCGCAGCCACCGTCGCCGCCGCCTCCGTCCGCCTCGCCGTCGCCGCCGCCTCCATCCGCCTCGCCGTCGCCGCCGCCTCCATCCGCCTCGCCGTCGCCGCCGCCTCCGTCCGCTTCGCCGTCGCCGCCGCCTCCATCCGCCTCGCCGTCGCCGCCGCCTCCATCCGCCTCGCCGTCGCCGCCGCCTCCGTCCGCCTCGCCGTCGCCGCCGCCTCCGTCCGCTTCGCCGTCGCCGCCGCCTCCCTCCGCCTCGCCGTCGCCGCCGCCTCCGTCCGCCTCGCCGTCGCCGCCGCCTCCATCCGCCTCGCCGTCGCCGCCGCCTCCGTCCGCTTCGCCGTCGCCGCCGCCTCCCTCCGGCTCGCCCTCGCCGCCGCCTCCCTCCGGCTCGCCCTCGCCGCCGCCTCCCTCCGCCTCGCCGTCGCCGCCGCCTCCATCCGCCTCGCCGTCGCCGCCGCCTCCGTCCGCCTCGCCGTCGCCGCCGCCTCCCTCCGCCTCGCCGTCGCCGCCGCCCCCATCCGCCTCGCCGTCGCCGCCGCCTCCATCCGCCTCGCCGTCGCCGCCGCCTCCGTCCGCTTCGCCGTCGCCGCCGCCTCCCTCCGCCTCGCCGTCGCCGCCGCCTCCGTCCGCCTCGCCGTCGCCGCCGCCTCCATCCGCCTCGCCGTCGCCGCCGCCTCCGTCCGCTTCGCCGTCGCCGCCGCCTCCCTCCGGCTCGCCCTCGCCGCCGCCTCCCTCCGCGTCGCCGTCGCCTCCCTCCGCATCGCCGTCGCCGCCGCCTCCCTCCGGCTCGCCGTCGCCGCCGCCTCCCACGCCGCCGCCGCCTTCCGCCTCGCCATTGCCGCCGCCGCCCACGCCGCCGCCACCTGCCCCTCCGCCGCCCTCGCCACCTTCTCCGCCACCGCCCTCTCCGCCGCCGCCGTCGCCGCCGTCGCCGCCGCCGGCGGCGGCGCCGCCGCCCTCCGGCTCGCCCTCGCAGCCGCCGCCCGCGCCGCCGCCGCCCTCGCAGCCACCCTTTCCACCCCTCCCCGAGGGCGTTGTCGTGGAGGAAGTGTCCGTGATCAAGTTCACCGTCGTTGTCACGATCTCCGCCGAAGTGAACGACATCGACGTCACTGAACTCGAGGGCTCCTTTCGCCCTGCGCAGCAGTGCTTCGAGCCAGAGTGCGGCCTCACCGTGACGCTCCAGCCCGTCGAGCAATCGGCAGCCCGTGGGGCACTCCAGGCTGCGGGAACGGTTGCTTCGAGCACGGCCAGCGTGTTCAAGGATGGCAACACACTTTCCGCCGTGCGCAACGCGAACTATGTATTCGCGAGAAACTCAGCCACCCAAGCCGGCAATATCCTGAATCAGCCCGTCAGCGAGGTCGACCCCAACGTCAACGAACGCGAGGACACCGAGCCGCGCGCGGTCGCGCCGCCGCCGCCCTCCGCCCCGCCCACGTCGCCGCCGCCCTCGTTGCCCCCACTTGACCTGAACCCGCAGTCCATGGACCCGTCGTGCTTCCCGAGCTCTGCGATGGTGCAGCGTGCCGACGGCGAGACCGCCCCCCTCTCCTCGCTCTCCGCCGGCGACTCGATCCTCGTCGCTGCGGCCGACGGCACCCTCGCCTTCGATGCCGTGTGAGAGAGGGGGGTTTCACTCGTTTCACCGTCGCTTGCTTCTACTAGGCACCCTCGGCTTCGACGTCGTCTCCTCCTTCTCGCTGGCCGACCCGTCCGCCAAGGCGGCCTTCTTCCTCTCGCTGACGACCGCAACGGCGACGGTCACGCTCACCCCGACGCACAAGCTGCCCGCTGGCCCGGCAAAGGCGCTCAAGCAGGCGTCCGAGGTTGCCGTCGGAGAGACGATCTGGCTCGCGTCGCCGGCCGCGGGCGCGCTCGTGCAGGCGCGCCTATACCCCCAGCACCACACACCCCTGCCTCTCCCGATGCGACCCCCCCTCGTCCCCCGGCCAGGAGCCCGTCCTCAAGATAAGCACGGTCGTGGCCGACGGGCTGCACAGCCCGCTCACCAAGCACGGAGGCTGGCCAATCGTTGACGGCGTCGCGACCTCATACAACAGCGCGGCCGTCGTCGCGCGCAACAAGTACCTCGTCCCGCTCGTCGAGGCGGTCTGCCCCTCCCTCGGCCGCCTCGTCGTGGCGGCCGCGAACCCAAAGGCGATGCACTACATCGATGGCGAGGTGATCTCCCGCGCCCAAGTTTAGAGTGTCACTTGTCCCCACTCTCCCAAACCCACCACCCGCCGCCCACTTTCGCTTCGTCGCTCGACCAGGTGGTCGAGCCGCTCTCTTCGCTCGAGCTTGCGCACGCGGCCGTGGTCACGCTCACGGCCGCCAGTACCACGTTTGGCGCGCGCTCAAGCTCGCGCCATCGTTTGTCGTAGTTGGGGAGAGCTCACCTCAAGCGAGCGAGAGACGGAGCCCACGGTTTACAAACCAAAGAAATTCGCGAACGACCCATTTGCCATGAGTTTCGCGCGCCGGATCTTGTAAGGGACGAATGGACTCATTGCACTTGGAGCACTTGGAGTGCGACCGGGTCTTTTCTTTTTTTGAAAGAAGGCGGCGTACCGCGGTGTTGCAATGCCGCGCGGCGCGCGCCCCGCGTGCTCCAGGCCCGCCCCGAAGTACATCGAAAAGAAGCGGCAGGACAACGGGTACGCTGCCTTGTCGATGCAAAGCACTGTCGACTTGACCGACATGTGGTGCTGCGGCGCCACGCCCTTGCTATTCTCCATTGTCAACGGCCCCGCGGAAACCCTCGCAAAGCTCGACCGCGACTATCCGTCGCTGGCAAAAATGGCGGCCGACGGTGGCGCCTACGACCCGCCGCAGCTCAACCCGGCTCGGACCTTTGTCAGCTGCTGCCTCGGGCTGCCATGGCCCGATTCGTGCAATCTCGGCACGGTGAATTGGTTCTCGCACCGGTCGCCGCTATGCGCGCTGTGCCCCGCCGCCGTCTGTCTGGGCTACATGAAGTGCTGCTTTGGGTTCACCGAGCTGTCGCTGCTGGAGAGCGGAGACGAGGTCTTCATCGAGATGCTCCAGCGAGGCGTGGCACCGGAACAGTGCCCGGAGCGGCTAAAGGGCCTCTACTGGATGCAAGACAACCTCGCCAACGAGGTGCTAGTCACGTTCCAGGACGCCTACTGGCAGCCGGCGACAGCGACGGCGCCATTTCTCGGCACCAAGGACCTCGGCCTCAACTTCACGCGGGACCCGACCTGCTTTGGAGTGTGCAACGGCCCGCCCTTCTCCCCGTTCACGTGCCCGCCGGTTGGCTGCTGCCCCTGCCTCTGCCTCCCCTGCTGGGCCGTCGCCCCGTGCGGCTCCACCCGCAGTCTGCCCGGCTGCTGCCTGCGCCGCACGCCAATGACGTTGGTGTCGTCCCCGGACCAGCGGTGGATCGACCTTGGGCTAGGCAACTTCATCTTCATCCCGACTGCGGGTGAGACGCTCGTCGCGCCGGGCGGAGAGCCGGTCGCCTTTGACGCGGCGCAGGACCTCCTTCGCGTCTCGTTCTACCCCGAGCAGGGCCTGTCGAGCATCAACTACCAGTACCGCGTGCGGAGGGTGGCGCATCTCTCAGAGAGCGGGGCGCTGGTCAAGACGGAGGCGTGGGATGATTTGGTGGCGAAGGTTCGCGCGACGAATGAGACGCCCGGCTGCCTGGGCGACCGCTGCTACTGTAACCTGCCGCTCGAGCAGCGGCTGCAAAACTCCCTCCTCTACCAAAACGACAGGCAGTTCTTCCGGCTGCCACCGAGGCCGGCGTCCATGGCGCTGGGCCGCGGCTGATGCGGAGGAAGTACCCCGCCCCTCCACTGGCCCTGCCGATGCCGATGAACGGCTCCGGGCGGTGTGTCGAACCTGTGTGCTGTGCGAGAGAGTTGAAAGGGAGAGGGGGCTGTGTTCTCTAGGCCCCTAGGACGATGTACTTGGAGCACACTTGGAGTGCAGTCATCAGCCTCACTATCCAGGGCCGGGGAGCTAAGAACAAAGAAGCGCACCACCGGGCCGATGCTAATTCATTTTTTCTTTTTTCACTTGCATCGCAATGAGTGCCAGACAGCGTTTATGTGAGACAGCAATGAAGGCGCTGCTGCTTTTTGCCCTCACGCCCTCCCTGTCTCACGGGCTCTCGCTCGGCCTCGCGAGCGTGCGATCGGTGGCGCCTCGGTGCGCGGCGGTCGCCCTGGACGACGCGCCGGGCAGCAGCCTGGCTCGCGATGCGTGCGCCGCCGATAGCGAAGCGCTGCTGGATTCCTTGGATCGTTGGCTGCGCCGGCAGTCCATCCGGTCGGTGCTGCCGCCGAGCCAGGCGCGGCACCTGCTTCGCGACCTACGCGACGACCACCGCTTCTGGGCGCAGCAGCGCCGCCAGTTTGCGCGCGCCTGGAACCTGGTCGAGGCCGGCCTTCGGCAGGAGACGCGGCCGGTCGGCGAGCTGCTGGGCAACGAGACGGCGTCCAAGGTGCTTTCCTATTCGGAGGACATGGACGTCGATCCCGCCATCGTCAACGCCCTCATCCGCAGCGAGGTTGTCGAGGCCATGCTTGGACACGTCCTGTACGATGGTGCCGCTCCCCCCCCGCCGCTGCCGCCGCCGCAGCCTGCCCTCGCGCGCGCTCCCCCTTCCCCCACAGCGCCGGCCGCCTGCGTCCGAGATGCCTCCCCTGCTGGTTGTCACCGATGTCCAGGCATCGGCCAGTTTCTGATCCAGTCCGACCCCATCGGCATGGCCCTCTCCAAGCTCCCGATCCTAGGGCCGATCCGCGCGCAGCTGGTCGACGCGGCGCGGCGCGAGGTGGACGCTTTGGTCGGCCCGCAGGTCGAGGGGTTCCTCGGCTCCTACTCCGCCGCCGCCGCCGAGTCTGCGGTGTCCTACCTGCTGGCCGAGGACAACAGCCCGAAGCTGCGCGCCGCGCGCCGCCAGCTCGCCTCGAAGCTGCTCAACCGGCCGCTCTGCAAGCTGGTAGCCCCCACGGCTAGAGAGATCACCCGAGATCACGCGAGATCGCCCGAGATCACCCGAGATCGCAAGCTGGCGGCGCATGGCTAGAGAGACCACCCGAGATCGTGAACGTGCCGACGACGTGCCCCGGACGTGTCTTTTTTTTCTCTCTCTTCTCGTGTCTTTGCAGGTGAACGGGTCTGACCTCGAGGCAGCCATCGCACGGGACACGATCTGGGCGGCGGTGCGGCAGTTCAAAATGCCAAACGAGGGCGCGCTGCTCGACCAGCTGTACGGCGAGTTTGGAGACGAGCCCTTCGCGATCTTGCTACCGCGCGACGCGGCAGCCAAGGCGGCGGCGCCGCCCTCGGCCCCGCTCTTCGAGCGCGGCCGCGCCATCCTGCGCGATATCCTCGCTAGCTTCCTCGCGTCGGGCGAGTGGGAGGAGTGGAGACGAAACGGCCCGCTGTCCGAGCCGTTGCCGCCGCCGCGGACGGCGGTGCTGACGCCGCCGGCCGCCGCGGCCGCCGCCGCCGCCGCCGCCGCCGCCGCCGCCGCTGCCTCCGCCGCCGCCGCCGCCGATGCCGATGCCGACACGGACGCCGGCGGCGCGCCCGATTTCGGGGCGATGAGCCGCGCCGATCTTGAGGCATACGCACGCGCCGCGCACGCCGCGGCCGGCCAGCCGCCTCCGCCCGCGCACGGGGCTGGCAGCCGGCACGGGGCAGGCGGTGCGGCGGGGTTGCATGCGGCCGGCGGCGGTGACGAGCCGCGGAGACGGCGCGTCGACTGCAGCGAGAAGCGGCTGGGCGAGTGGGACGGATGGGACTGAGCCGGTGTGGGCGGGCCCCATCGCGCGGTGGGTCGCTCGCGGAGCATGCCTCTCTCTCAGCCCGGTGGTGGCTGGCCTCCTGCGCAACTCCGTCCCTCCCTCCCTGTCATGCCGATGCCGCCGCCGGTGTGTGGCGGCGGTCTCGAGGGCTGGGACGGTCTGGCGGCGTCCGAGGTGCCGGGGGAGAGAGAGGAGGGCGGTGTGTGAGAGAGACGCATAATTACTCGTTTCTTTGTCGCCTGAGCAAAAATGATGAGAGGCTGAGCAAGCGAAATGGGTTAGAAAATAGACGCCGGTCTCCGCCGGACTCTCCGCTCTGCCTCTCCACGGTGCACCTGGCCTCGCAGGCGAGGGGGGCTCAGACCATCTTGATCTTGCCGAAGTCGACGAGGCCGCCCTGCGAGACGAGCCAGCACACCGACTCGATGACGAGCATCGCGCAGAACGGCGTGACGTCGCCCTTGTTCACCATCGCCGGGTTGTTCTTCTTGTTCGTCCAGTGCTCCTCCATCAGCGCGTTCATCGGGAGGAAGACCTGTTGCACAGCCACAGGTTGGTTACGACGAAGACGGCGCCGAGCGTCTTGGCGAGCGTCGTCTTGCCGCCCGTTAGCGCGACGGCGATCTTGAGGGGAGGGCGATCGTGCCGATTAAGGTGCCCCAGCCGTTGCAGATCACCGTCATGCGCGGCGACTGGTTCTCGCTGTCGCCGAGCTTCGTGTCGTGCCACCACGACTGGAGTCCTCGTCCGGCATGACGGTCTTGCCTTCCATGAAGTTGTCGCGGATGCCTCCGAGGAGGAAGAAGAGCGCCTGGGCGGCGACGATCCCGTAGGCGGCGTTGTGCCTGAGGGTAGCATGCACTCAGATGCAGCAGGTCGGCGGCGGGCGGGCTGTGGCGCCAGTGCCTGCACTCAGAGGAGTGTAGGGCGGCGGCGGGCTGCTGGCTGTGGCGCGACGTACGGCATCTTAATGAAGTGGTCGAAATGCGCTTTGCAACGCCCTCGGTCCTCGGGCCCGACGTCTCTCCGCCGCCGCCTCGGCGAATGCCTTCTGGCTCGGCGCTAATGTTCCGTGGAATCGGGGGGGGTTTGCTAAGGTGTAGATCAGTTTCCGTGGAATCGGGTATGATATCGGCCAGATATCGGCTCGGCGTACAACGCCTCCTTCTTCGACGGCGCGTTCGGCGCGATCGCGGCGGCGGGCGCGAACTCGGCGCGCCTGTATGCACGCCGATGGCCGCGCGACGCCGTCGTTCGCCGCCGACGACAGCGTCTCCGGGCCGGGGGGCGCGTCGTACGCCGACGACCTCAAGTCGCTCGCGTCGCTCGCGGCGAAGCACGGCCTCGTGCTCGAGCTGTGCCTGTGGTCGTTCGACATGTACATGTGCAAGAAGGACTTTGACAAAAGGCGGTGCCACGACGACCTGATCTCCGACGCCGCCAAGTCGAAGTCGTACGTGGAGGATCGCGCTGGTGCCGTACCTCAAGGCGCTCGACGGCGCCGAGAACGTCGAACTCGTGATCGAGGTGGTGAACGAGTCTGAGTGGTGCATGAAGGGCTCGTGCAACACGCAGAAGAGCGTCGAGGTGAGCGAGACTCACCGCGATGGTCGCCGAGGCCGTCCACGCCCACTCTTCCTTCAAGGTCACCACCGGACCACCGGCTCGGCGTCGCTGAAGAGGTCGTCGGTGGCGCAGAGCGGGCTGCCTCGCCTCGTACTGGAACGACACGGCGCTCGCCTCCGCGTACCCGTCGGGCAAGAGCGCCGCCCTCGACTTCTAACGTGCACTACTATGATTGGATGTACCGTCGTGGGGCTACGACCCGTGCCGCCTCGAGGCGGAGGCGTGGGCGCTCGACAAGCCGACGGTCATCGCCGAGCTCCCGGCCTCGAGCGCACACTACTCGGCGGCGCAGCTCCTCTCGTGCTCGTCAGACAATGGCTTCGCCGGCGACCTCTTCTGGGCGTACAATGACGCCTCCTTCCCACTCGACAAAGCGGTCGTGCCCGCGATGAAGGACGTCGCCGCCGCCCACGCAGACGCCACCTCGTACAGCGCTCTGCTCAAGTGGCTCGGCGCGCTCAGCACCGCCGCCGCGCCGCCACCGCCGCGCGCGCGGGTGGCGGCCGCGTCGGTCGACGCGGCCGCCGAGGCGACGGTCGAGGCGCCGCCCGCGGCGGCCGCCGCGCCGCGCGCCGCGTCGCGGAAGGCGGCGACGCGTTCGTCAAGCTGCTGCGCCGACTAGAGGGCGAGCGGGTGAGCGTCTGCCGGGTACAGAAACTGAGTTAGGTCTGTGGACGCACCCTGGCCTCGGCGATGTAGCGCGCCAGTTGATCCATCGAACTGGCCGGGTTCGGCAGCCGGCGCCGGCGAGCTTCAAAAGATTGGCGAGCAGCGCGAGCTGCGCGCTGCCGCCGGTGCAGTTGGCCGCCGCCGCCGAGCGCGCGCGCAGCGCGACGACCAGGTCGGACCACTGCTGCCGGAGAGCGCGGGCGGCAGGTGGCCGGCGCGCTTGCGCGCCAGCCCGTCCGCTGCCGGCTCCGCGGCCGCGGTCCATGGCTTGCGCTTGCACCTCTCGAGCCGCAGCAACGCCGGCTACAGTGGCGTGTGCAAGCACCGCCCCTCTGGCCGCTTCGATGCGCGTCGCAAGGTGGATGGCAAGGATGTCTACATCGGCAATTTTGGCACGGCGGTGGAGGCGGCGGTGGCCTATGCGCGATCGGTCGGCGAGTACCAGCCTCAGGCTCAACCTTCGTCGGCGCTCGGCGGAGGGCGTGGCGCCGCGGCACGTGCAGGTCCTCGAGGAGGAGGCGGACGACGAGGACGACGTGACGGCGAGGGCGGAGAGCGAGGGCGGGAGAGGCGAGGCACGGGCGGTCGGCGAGGTGGAGGAGGAGATGGAGGTGGAGGCGCCGGCAGCCGAGGCGGAGGGCTTGCGCTTGCACCTCTCGAGCAGCAGCAGCAGCGGCTACTTAGGCGTATTCGAGCACACTGCTGGCCGCTTCAGGGCGCAGCGCATGATGGCCGGACGGAATGTCCACCTCGGCACCTTCGGCACAGCAGTGGAGGCGGCGGTGGCGTACGCGCGGGCGGTCGGCGAGTACCAGCCTCCGACAGTGGCGACAGAGGCGGAGGGCTTGCGCTTGCATCTCTCGAGCAACAACGCCACCGGCTACAAAGGCGTGTGGCGGCACCCCTCTGGCCGCTTCGTGGCGCAGCGCAAGGTGGGCGGAAGGTATGTCTACTTCGGCCTCTTCGACACGGCGGTGGAGGCGGCGGAGGAGGCGCGGGCGAATGGTGAGTACCAGCCTCAGGCTCAACCTTCGTCGGCGGAGGGCGTGGCGCCGCCGCGGCACGTGCAGGTCCTCGAGGAGGAGGCGGACGACCAGGACGATGTGACGGCCAGGGCGGAGAGCGAGGGCGGGAGCGGCGAGGCACGGGCGGTCGGCGAGGTGGAGGTGGAGGCGCCGGCTGGCAGCCGAGGCGGAGGGCTTGCGCTTGCACCTCTCCAGCAACAGCACCGGGTACAAGGGCGTGCAAATGGCGTCCACTACTGGCCGCTTCCAGGCGCGGTACAGGGTGGACAGAGAGCAGGTCTCCATCGGCTGCTTCGACACGGCGGTGGAGGCGGCGGTGGCGTATGCGCGGCGGTACCAGCCTCCAGCTCAACCTCCTCCGACAGTGGCCACGGAGGCGGAGGGCTTGTGCACCTGTCGAGCGGCAGCAGCAGCTACTCGCCTTGCTTCCTACTCGCCCAATTCACTGTCGCCACCGTCGCTGCCGTCAGAGGAAGCAGGCGTGGGCGGTCGGCTCGCCCACACCTCGATCTTCTTGGGCTCGAACTGGCGCTCCTGGTCGCCGTGGCCCAGCCGGCCGCCACCGCCACAGCCCCAGCTCCAGACAGCGCCGTTGGCGGTGATGGCGAGGCTGTGGCGGGTTCCAGCCGACACGGCGATGACGCGCTGGCCAGCAAAGGCCTCGACCTTCTTGGGCAGCAGCTGCAACTGCGTGTCGTCGTGGCCCAGCCTGCCCCTGCCTCCCCAGCCCCAGCTCCAGACACTGCCGTCGGCTGTGGAGGGTTCCTGCCGACACAGCGACGACGAGCTGCCCAGCCAACGCCTCGATCTTCTTCGGCAGCGGTTGGTGCTGCGCGTCGCCGTGGCCCAGCGAGACGGCCGCGACGCGAGCGATGTTGACGGGGTCGCAGCGAGAGACAACGCGCACGAGGAGGTCCGTGGGGAGGTCGAGGAGGCTGGTGGGCGGCGTGCTTTGCGTGCTGTTTGTCACAGGCACGGGACCGGCGCGCACCGTAAAGAATTCTCGGGAATTCGGTTTCTCTTTTTCATCGGTGTGCCGGTGATAGTACTAGCACGCGCCAGTTCGCACCTGTGTCGAGCCTGTGTGCTGTGAGAGAGAGTTTTGCTGTTTAACATTTAATATTATACTCTTTTTCATCGTTTGATCAGGTGGCGTTTATTTTTGCTTGGCCGGACATCATGATGAAATTCTGCAAAAACCTGACCGGCCCCTGCCCTGCCCCTACCTACCTACCTACCTACCTACCTTACTTATGGGAAACTAAAAAAGAAATCACGGGGTGGGTGAAGGTGGGGTACTATACCAACTAAAGTGATGGCTGGTGGTACTATCCTGCAACCACAGTCCTTCCTGTGACATGGCAACTCTCAAGCCCTACAAAGATCAACGACTTGGGGAGGGTTGACATCGTGATTTGGGCGGAAAAATTCTTTTTCTGCTGTGAAAATTCCGGCGTGAGAGAGGGAAAAACCCGACGGGAGGGCCCAGACCCTACCCTACCTACCCCATCATGATGTCCGGCCAAGCAAAAATAAACGCTGGTTTGATCTGGTTTGATGGCAAGCAGCGATGGTGGACGACGCAGGACGCTGTCGTCGTCTGCAACCAACAAGGTCTTCTCCAGAGCCGTCGCTGCCGGGCTCCGACAGCTTTGTCGCCTGCTTTGAGGCCAATTGCTCGTCGCGCCACGGAGCACGCCTGTACTCCTGGCTGCGGCAGGACGGCAGCGAGGAGGCGGCCCTCTCGTACGGCGAGCTGCGGGAACGGGCCTGCGCGCTCGCTGTCTGTCTGAGGCTGCGGTGGGACGTCCCAGAGCGCGGCCGCGTGATGCTTGTCTACCCGCCTGGTCTCGAGTTCCTGGTGGCCTTCTTTGGTGCTCAGTACGCCGCCGTCATAGCTGTCCCCTACTACCCTCCCGTGCTTCCGACGTCGCCTGCCCCGAGCGCCAGTGCGCGCCGCCGCCTCGCCGACGGCCTCGCCAAGCTGGCGCGGATCGCCGGCGCGGCTGCTCCGTCCGCCTTCCTCTCCAGCCGGAGCTACCTGCGCAGCAAGTGGCTGTGCAGCCTCGTCTGCAGAGAGGAGGCGTGCCGCTGGCCGGAGGAGTGGAGGTGGCACGCGAGCGACGACTCGCTGGCGCCCCCCTCGGGCGAGGAGGAGGCGTGGCTGCACGCCGCGGTTGCCGGCCGGACGAGGCCCGCGGAGTCCGAAATCGCCTTCCTGCAGTTCACTTCGGGGAGCACAGGCAACCCAAAGGGCGTGATGGTCGGCACGCGCAACCTCGTCGCCAACGTGCGCCTGATAATACAGGCCAACGTGCGCGCAGTGCCGGCGGGAGAGCTCGCCATCGTCTCGTGGCTGCCGCAGTACCACGACATGGGCCTCATCGGAGGCTGCCTCTCCGCCGCCCTCTCCGGGTGGAGGGCCGAGCTCTTGTCGCCCTTCGCCTTCCTGCAGCGGCCGCTCCTCTGGCTCCTCGCCATCTCGCGCCTCTCCGACTCGCACCACGTCGTCAGCCCGGCGCCCAACTTCGGGTACGCGCTCTGCGTCCGCCGCGTCAAGGAGGCCGAGCTTAACTAATTAATTAATTAATTGAGTGACTAATTAATTAATGCTCTGCGTCCGCCGCGTCAAGGACGCCGAGCTGCCGCGCCTCGACCTCTCCCGCTGGCGGATAGCGATGAACGGGGCGGAGCCGATCCGCGCGGCGACGCTGCGCGAGTTCGAGGCCAAGTTCGGCCGCGCAGGCTTCGACCCGGCCTCGTGGGCTTGCGTCTTTGGCCTTGCGGAGAACGTGCTCTACGTCGCTGGCTGCGCCGAGCCCGCCCACCTCCTCCGCCTCGACCGCGCTCGCCTCGCCGTCGGGGACGTGCCGCTCCCGCGCGCGTCGCCGGCCGGCGCCTCCCAGGCGCTCGAGGCGTGCGGCCACGCGCTGCTGCCCGAGCGCGAGAGCGGGCAGGCCGTCCGCATCGTCGGAGACGCGCGGGAGGCGCTGCCGGACGGCACGGTCGGCGAGGTGTGGGTGCGGGGTCCATCGGTGGCGCGCGGGTACTGGCAGCTGGAGGAGCTGTCGCGGGAGACGTTCTGCGCCACACTCGCGGGCAGCAGCGAGGGGCAGAGCGGCGAGAGCGGCTGCGGCGCAGACTCGTACCTGCGGACGGGTTCCTCTCCTCCCCTCTCCTCCCCTCTCCCCCGCCTCTCCTCTCGTCCTCCGTCTCGCCGCGAGTCCAGCTCACTGCGCCCAGGCGACCTCGGCCTGCTCTGGGAGGGGCGGCTCTACATCGTCGGCCGGATCAAGGACGTGCTCACCATCAAGGGGCGGACGCTGCACGCGCACGACATCGAGGTGTGCGCCGAGCGCGGCAGCGACGCGCTGCGGCTCGGCTGCTGCGCCGCCTTCCCCGTCCTCGGCGACGATGGCGACGAGGCGCTCGTCCTGATGGCGGAGCTGCGCGAGGAGGTGCTGCCGCGCCACTTAATAATAATTAATTGATTAGTTGAGTGACTGATGAATTAATTTGGCGGAGCTGCGCGAGGAGGTGCTACGCCGCCGCTGGGGGAGGGGCGCCGCCGGCGCAGAGGCGGCGCGGGCGTGCGCCGCCGTCGCGGCGCAGGTGGCGAGTGCGGTGGGCGAGGGCGAGGGGGTGAGGCCGACGGTCGTCGTGCTGCTCGCGCCGCGCTCGATCCTCAAGACAACCTCGGGCAAGCTGCGGCGGCGCGAGCTGCGCCTCGCGTACGACCAGCTGCTGGCGGAGCACGCCGGCGGAGGCGAGGGCGCAGGCGGCGGCGGCGGCGGCGGACGGGCGCCTCTCCTGCCGAGAGAGGCGGCGCTGCACATCTGGCGCGACGGCGGCGGCGAGCCCACAGGGGCGGCTGCGGCGGGTGCGGCGGCGGGTGCGGTGGCGGGTGCGGCGGCGGGTGCGGGAGCGGGGCTCGAGCCCGCGGCGAAGGCGCTCGCCTCTGCGGACAGCCGCAGAGGCGTGAGAAAGGGATTGCTTTCGCAGCGAGGTGGCGCGGGCGGCGGCGAGGGCTGCGGCGCGGTGTTCTGCGACAGAGAAGGAGCGGAGCCGCTTCGGGTGGTTGCGGACCTGAGCGACCTCCGAGAGACGAGGGAGGTCGCCGCCTCGTTCGCCTCGAGCGAGCTCGCGCTTAATTAATTAATTAATTAATTGAGTGACTAATTAATTAATAGGTCGCCGCCTCGTTCGCCTCGAGCGAGCTCGCGCTGAGCGAGGAGATCCTCGACGCGTCCGTCTGCGCCGAGACGCCGGCGGACATGTCGTGGGCTCTGCGCGAGTCGTGGGCGGTGGCGTGGTCGCTGGCGTACGCGAAGGAGGGCGACGAGGCGAGCCTAGCAGCCGTGCAGCTTTACGGCGCGACTCTCGTCCGGCGGGCGGGGGAGGAGGAGGACGCGGAGGCGGAGGATGGGGAGGCGGAGGCGGAGGCTCGTGGCGGCACCGCAGGCTGCCATGGCGATGCCTTCTCTCCCGCTCTCCTAGCTGCAGAGGGGCGCGCTGTGCAGTAGTGGGCGCAGCTGAGGCTGGGGAGACAACATGATGTCGCACGTATCACACACGAGAGATGCCTCAACAGACAGAACGAAGCAGTATTTACAGAAGATTAGTGTAGTGGACTTTGTTAGTAGTAGACGTCTGGCCGAAGGCTCATCCAGCCATATCTCGTGGTGTGTGCACTGCCCAGTGTGGTTTCTTTATCTACATCGATGTAGGTCACGAGGCCCCGCCGTGCAGGGCGCTACGGGCTCCGGCCGGACGTGGCAGCGGCGGAGCGTCGCGACTCCGCCCTTTTTTCGCCCAACACGCTATCCACCGTCACCGACCCTGCCGCCAGCGGCGCGGCTTCGCGCCGCGCGCGCTCACGCTAGGGCGCTCGCTCACCGCATCTCGGTTTGTGCATTGAGCTCTGAGGCCCCCATCACGCCGGGGATCCACGGCCGGCGAGGCGTCCCGCCGGAGGCCAGGATTGAGGCACCTGCGCCGTCGTCGGCGAGACCCTCGCCATCACCAGCCTCTACCTGGGAATACCGCATCCGCATTCCCGCTCATCGCTTTGCGCATTCCGCAGATCCCTCAGGGAGACGCCTTCCTCCCTGGACGCGTTCCCCCCTGGGGGTCAACTCGAGCGGCCCCTATCTTGGCTCGGCCGAGCACGCCTGCCAGCGCACCTTCGAGTACTTACGGCAACTACCCCCACCGCGGTCTTGAGCCCGCCGCGCGCAACCCGCATCCGCAGCAGGACTGCCTGCAACCGTCGTGCAGCCCCACTACCTTCGATTGTGGGGGCAGGGATTGAGGACCCCTGTGCTATTTGTCCCGATATGTGGTGTTACTCGACTAGAGCCGTACGTCGCGACTCGTCGAGGGGGGGGACGTCTGGCCGAAGGCTCATCCAGCCATATCTCGTGGTGTGTGCACTGCCCAGTGTGGTTTCTTTATCTACATCGATGTAGGTCACGAGGCCCCGCCGTGCAGGGCGCTACGGGCTCCGGCCGGACGGTAGAGGGTAGCGAGAGGGCTGCAAGACTAAAGACCGAGAGCGAGACGGATAAAATGCTGGGTTGACGGAAATCGAGGGACGCGACCCACTTCGCCACAGACGGTCCCGCGCCTCGCCGCTAAGTTTGCGGCACGCCCCGCACCGTCCGCTGTGCCGCGTTTTTTGTCCGGAGTGAAAAGTCCAACGCGCTCGTCGGTGGCGGCTTCCCTCAACCTGCGCCACGCTCGGCGAACCTCGACAGCGCTTTCGGTGGCATGCAGCTCTTTGCGACAGAAGCCTGGAGAGCAGCTCCTCTGCTGCTCACACACTCTGCACAGCTGACACAGCCTACTGTGCGGCTGCCACAGCTGTGACAGCGATGGGCTCGCCCTCACTGGCCCTCAGTCACTTGTGCTGCGGCTTGTGTGAGCGACACTGCTCGGCGACTGCCGGCACACTGTGAGACCATGGGTGTGAGGTAAAACCACGCTACCAGCGCTTGGTCACATCGGCCCCGAGGTCAGATCCATCTACTCTGTTGATGACAAGACTTGTCTACCGGCTGGAGCCGAGCAGGAGGGCCCGGCGCACAACCCCTTGGTCAACTCACCCTCCACACCCCGTAGCGGGATCGTAGGAGCAGCCCGCGGGCGGTACGATGTGTAAAGCTGACGCGAGGGTTAAAAGAAATCAGATACCAAATCATGTGATCGTGAGGCAGTCAATTTCGATCTCCTGAGCTACTCGCCGAGAAACGACTCGCCTTGCTTCCTACTCGTCCAATGCACTGTCGCCACCGTCGCTGCTGTCCTCGTCTCCGTCAGAGGAAGCAGGCGTGGGCGGTCGGCTCGCCCACACCTCGATCTTCATGGGCATCTCTGGACAGGGTGGCCCGCCACAACGACCCCTGGAATTGCGACTCGCCGCTTTCCTCCCGCTGTGATTCTGTGTGAGCTCTGTGTCTTGATTTGCCAACAATATACCTACAACCTCAGTATATCTCTCTATACCTAGGTAGGTAGGTAGAAAGATGAACAACAGTCAGGCTCGGACTGGACACCAGCGCGGTATGGGTGGACGCGGGACAGATGATGACGACACGCACGAGCGACACACAGACACAAACAAGCTCACAAGACACACCTAACACAAAAGTAGAAAGATAGCCAAAAGTGGAAAAAGAAAATAGTTCCCAGGATCTTGTCGCGCGTGCGGATCTCAATGGGCGGATGTGCACGGTCGATAGCTTCGACGAGGCTACCTCTAGCGCTCGCTGCGCGGTGAGCGTTTCTGGAGGAGAGCTTCAAGTCTGGATCAAGCCCGAGAACTTGCTCGAGACTCTGCCCGATGAGTTTGCGCATGCCGCGCAAGTAGGAGATGAAGCGACTGTGCATGAGTGGTTGACCGACGGTGGCGACGTCGACGCACCCTGGTTCAACCCCGAAATCAACGGGCACGGCTTCACGCTGCTCATGCTGGCGTGCAGCAAGGGGCACGAGCGCCTCGTCGCCCGTCTGCTGAAGTGTGGCGCAGACGCGAACGCGCTCAACGACGGGGGCGTCGATCCGCTCATGCACGCCGCGGTGTGCATGGAGCCCGGATGGGCAGCGTGCCTGAAGCTCCTTCTCAAAGCAAAGGCGCGGCCTGATTGGTTCTCCGACGCAGGCGGCTCTGCTCGAGGCACAATCAGGATGAAGCTGCTATTGCGGGCGCCAACCGCCAGGCTCCGTGCCCCACCTACCTACCTATTCCCAGGCCGCGCAGCGAAGCGAAAAAATACCCGTTAGCCCTCTGTGAATAGGCTCCCAGCGCCCGCCGCGCGCCGGCTTGTACCGCGGTGCGCGCCGCTCGCGAGCATGGCCTACTGGGCGACTCGTCTGGCATGGCCCCCCGTTCGCGGCTAAACGCGCCGTCTCCCGCGCGAGCGAAGCGGTTTTTATACCCCCCCCCCCCCCACCACCACCACCTACCTACCTATTGCGGGGCCCTCTGGGGCGGTCAAAACCGGGCCTACCTACCTATTGCATAGGGTCTAACCGTGGTAAACAGACCCCCTGTCTGGGTAGGAGCTGGAACCCTCCGAATGGGTACCCTCCCCGTGTGCAACCGAATGGGTACCCTCCCCGTGTGTGTCTCCCCGAATGGGTACCAGCACCGAATGGGTACCCTCCCCGTGTGTGTCGCGCGCCTTGCGGGGGGGGCGCGGAAAAGAGGAACCTCTTAGCGCCATCGCCACGGTGCTGCAAGCGCCGGGCGACGACGGCTTACCGCCTCCCGGTCCCCCTCGGCACACCTCCGCTGCTTAATGTTTGGCGACTCGAACCCGTGAAGCTTCCCCGTGCGCGGGTTACCCCGCACACGGGTCAGCCTGCCAGCCACGTATCCACGCAAGCGTGGTCCGCGCGCATGGCATACAGGCGTTCCCCATTCTCTTCGCTGCCCCCGGCCATGAGCGGCGCCATCAGCCCGACCTTGCTCGCCGAGCTGGCCAACGGCAACCTGACCTTGCTGCGCGCCCTCCTCGCCGGGCGGACGCGCGGCCCAGCGCTCACGGCCGAGCTCGACGCGCGCCTCGAGGCCGCGAACCACTGTACGCTGCTGATTATCGCAGCTCAGCACGGGCAGGCCGACGCCGTGCGGCTGCTGCTCGAGAGCGGCGCGAGCGTGGGGGCGACGACGGGCATTGGCTCCACGCCGCTGTTCATCGCGTGCCAGAACGGCCACCTCGAGTGCGCCCAGCTGCTCCTCGGCGCCAGCGCGGCGGTCAACCAAGCCAAGGCAGACGGCGCCACGCCGCTGTTCATGGCGTGCCAGAAGGGCCAGCTCGAGTGCGTGCGGCTGCTTCTCGGCGCCAGCGCGGCGGTCAACCAAGCCAGGGATGGCGGTGCCACGCCGCTGTTCATAGCGTGCCAGGAGGGCCACCTCGAATGCGCCCAGCTGCTTCTCGGCGCCAGCGCGGCGATCAACCAAGCCAGGAACAGCGGCGCCACGCCGCTGTTCATCGCGTGCGAGGAGGGCCACCTCGAGTGCGCACGGCTGCTTCTCGAGGCCAGCGCGGCGGTCAACCAAGCAGACGCTGACGGCTTCACGCCGCTGTACATTGCGTGCTTCAAGGGCAACGTCGAGATCGGCCAGCTGCTCCTCGAGGCCAGCGCGGCGGTCGACCAAGCCGCGAACGGTGGCGCCACGCCGCTGTTCATGGCGTGCCAGACGGGCCAGCTCGAGTGCGCCCAGCTGCTCCTCGAGGCCGGCGCAGCGGTCAACCAAGCCGAGCAGGATGGCGCCACGCCGTTGTTCATCGCGTGCCAGAAGGGCCAGCTCGAGTGCGCGCGGCTGCTTCTCGGCGCAAGCGCGGCGGTCGACCAAGCCAGGGACGGCGACGGCTCCACCGCGCTGGCCATCGCATGCCATAAGGGCCACGACGACATCGTCCGGCTGCTCCTCGGCGCCGGCGCGGCGGTCAACCAAGCCAAGCACGGCGGCACCACGCCGCTGTACATCGCGTGCGAGAAGGGCCACCTCGAGTGCGCCCAGCTGCTCCTCGAGGCTAGCGCGGCGGTCGACCAAGCTGCGGGCGGCGGCTGGACGCCGCTGCACGTTGCGTGCCTGGAGGGCCACCCCGCCGTCGTGCTCTGCCTGCTGCGGGCGGGCGCTGAGACGGCGGCGCGCACTGCGAGTGGCGAGACGGCGCTGCAGCTTGCCAAGGAGGACGGCCACACCGAGTGCGAGCGCGCTTTGGAGGCGGCGGCAGAGGCAGATGCGGCGCGGCACGCTGAGGAGCTGCTGGCGGAGGAGGAGGCGGAGGCACGCGCCAAGGAGAAGAAGAAGGCCAAGAAGAAGGGCAAGAAGAAGAAGCAGGGCGGTGGGGGCGGCGCTGGGCCGTCGCAAGAGCCCGAGGCGCCGGCGGTTGAGGCGGCGGGGGCGGTGGCGGCGGAGGAGGAGGCGGAGCTTGCGGCGGCGCTTGAGGAGAACGCGAGGCTGGAGGAGGGGAGGCGGGCGGCGGAGGAGCAAGGGCCGTCCTCGGCTGCAGAGGCGCCGGCTCCGAGGGAGGAGGAGCCGCCGGCCGACTTCATCTGCCCGATCACGACCGAGCTCATGAGTGACCCGGTGATGGCGGCGGACGGGCATTCGTACGAGCGGTCGGCGATCAAGCGCTGGCTCGCGACCAAGTCGACGAGCCCGATGACGGGCGAGGCGCTCGTGCACAGCTTCCTCGCCCCCAACCACACGCTGCGCCGGCAGATCCGGGAGTGGCAGCAGGCGGCTTGATCGCCGGCTCGGTCGAGCGGGGTGGGTGTGGGCTGTGGCGCGGCCACTGGTTGGTCTTCCTCTCCGCCGGCTCTGCCGACTGCGCCGGTGCGGCAAGGGCTCGGTCGACCCAAGGCGGCCGGGTGAACGCAGGCCGAGTGGCGATCACACTGCCGCAGCCAGGGAGTTACAAGGTGTGCCATTCGGCGTTGCCCGCCCCCACCACGGACGCTCACTTTGCCTTCCTCTCGAATGTGATCCTGGACGTGCTTTCGGGGTCGCCACCGCCGTCGCCACCTGTGCGATCGAATGCCATCTCCGACGAGGCCAAGGTAGCCATCATCGCCGGCTCCACAGGCGGCGCACTCGTGCTCCTCCTCATCGGCCTCATTGGTCTCGTGTTCTGGCGACGCAAGCCAGCGCATGTGGCGCGTCGCACCGAGCATCGCGTCGCCACGAGGGGGCTTCTCAAGCCCGCCGAGATTGGCATGGCACCACTCCAAGTGCGCGACTTGCCGAGCGCCTGGTGTCTCGCAGGGGCACCGGGGTGGTCGAGGTCACGATGGAGTCGGCGTAGCCGGAGAAGGCGACCGGGTAGCGACCAGGAGGGGTGCGGGTCCTGATCGTGTGCGGCGCCAAAGTGGCCAGTGCAATGGGAGGGGGAGGGGGAAGTGACGGACACATAGAGGTGTTGTGTGTGAGGGGCGTCGAGTGCAAGGTGTGCTCTCGATTCGAATCCTCGAGGCGTGAACAGTTGTGCTGTCGAGGGGCTGCCGCCTGTGTTTGTGTGTGTGTCATGGCCGCGAGCATGTTGAGCTCGGGATCGGGCCGGGTGGACGGGCTTGGAGCGGGCCGGGGGGCCGCGGGGCCGGGAGTAACCGTAGTCTCCGCTCTCCGGTCGAAGCTGTCGCACTGTTCGGCGGGACGAGACCGTTGATCAAGATTTCGGCTGACAGAGAGTAACGTAAAAAACCCACACGCCACAGCCACACACCCGCGCCGGTGCAAACCACGCTCTGGCGCACAACCCCTGTGCAACTCAGGGTCCGCTCCCTTTACGCTCTCGTTCGGGACGGAGCTCGGAGGAAACGCTGATCGCTGTTAACGTTTTCTGCCAGGTCCGAATGGCTCACCGTGTAGTCGGCCCGCCGCGCATCTTCTGCCAGTCCGCCCACTCGAGGTTCGTCGCCGGGTTGGGCGCCCACTGCGCCGCGCGCTTGGACGTCGAGAGCGAGTGCGCCCCGCCGCCGCCGCCGCCGCCAGCCGGCGCGTCGCCCTGCACGGCCTTGCTGCAGCGGCGCATCAGATCGGGGACGAGGCCGTAGAACCCGCAGAGCAGGTGCTCCGCCGTCTCCAGGTCGTACGTCCGCCCACGCGCCAGCCCGTCCCACGCATCGGCGAGTCCCATCCGCGAGAGAGCCTGCGGCCAGTCGGCGACGATGCGCCGTGCTCGCGCGAGCGTCTCGCCCTGCTTCGCGTCCGTGTCCTTGTCGAGCACCGCGCGCGCCTCGGCGCAGCCGTCCATCAGCAGCGCGCCCTTGCGTGCGCCCGGCCCAAAGAGGGCAAACTTCTCCCTCGTCTCGGCCGCCAGCCCAAGAGGCAGCGCCGTCGGCTCCACCTCGCCAACCATCACCAGGTCTGACCAGATCTGCCACGCGACAAACGGCCCCACCGTGTCCAGCCGCTGCAGCCCATCCACACCGAGCGCCTCCGAAGCGCTCCCCGCCCCGGCGATCGCCGCCGAGAGACGCCGCAGCCCCGCCGCCTTTGCGGTGGCGAGCTGCCGCAGCATGCACAGCACACGCTCCCTCGACTGCACCTGGTGCTCGCCCGTCATCACGCCGCGCCCCGCCGCCGCCTCTGCGCTGATGAAGGCGCCGAAGTCGCGCATCTCGCTCGGCAGCGGCAGCCGCGCCGTGCAGGGCTCCGGCGGCGGCGCCGGCCGCCCGTGCACCCAGGCCCACTTGTCGCGAACGCCGTTGCGGCCGAACTCGGTCACGCCGCTGGCGGCGATCGCAAAGGCGTCGGTCCGGGCGGCGTAGACCTCCTCCTCGTACTCGCTCTGCCACGGCCACCCCTTGCCCTTGCTCGCGACGAGGGAGCGCAGCGCCGCCCACCGCGAAAAGGTGGAGAGCCGGTTGAAGGTCCGATAGACGGTCGCCCCCCAGAGCAGCAGCTCGGTGCGCGAGAGGCCCTCGTCCAACGCGTGGTCGGCGAGCAGCGGCGCCATCCGCGCGAAGCCGAGCGAGCCGCGGTCGTCGCAGCGCCACAGGACAGGACCCGGGTTGCCGCGCGCGTACGGCGGCGTCCTGCCGTCCTCGAAGCGTCGCGCGGCCGCCTCGAGCGACGTGAAGTTGTACCAGACGAAGGCCTGCAGCCACTCCTCCCTGCCGACGAAGAAGGGTACGAAGGCGGCGTCGGTCGAGCACCGCTGCGAATGCGGGCACGTCGGCCACGCCATCGCCGCCTCTCGTTCGGTCCACCACTGCTGGGGCGCGACGTCCGGCGGCGGCGGTGCGCGCAGCGCGCAGCAGGCATGGATAGTGATTTTGCGGCGCAGCTGCTTGTCGTAGCATTTCAGCAGCTGCCCAGTGTCGAGCTCTGGATTGCGCCCGCAGGCGGCGCACACCACGCACGCGCTGTGGCCGCTCTTCGCCGCCCTCTCTGGGAGACTGTCACGTGCGATTGCCTGCGCCGGTGTTGTGCGCCGCCTCTTCAGGCTTGGAACCTCGGTGGAGCAGGGGCTCATGCTGCTCGTCGCCGCGAATGGTTGGCAAGGTTGTCGTCGACGAGCCGGCGTGAACACGACTAACTGACGGATCCGCTCCTGACAGTCACGCGCCGCGTGCGACTGTCTTTGTAAAAAAGTGGAATCAGGTTGTGAATGAGCTTGCCTGTGGCGGCGGGCTGCGAGAGACGTTCATCGGCACGGCGGTGAACGCCAGCTCGTCAATCATGCGCGGCAAGTTCGATTTCGACGAGTCCGAGCTACCGGTGAGCACGTCGCGGCACCGGTGAGGCAGGGCACGGCGAAGAGGAGGAGCGCCATATACCAGGGCTCTGGTTGGCGTGCTCGCGAGTCGTAGTGAGGCGGGAGGACGGCGAAAAAACCGGGAAAAAGAATTCTTTTAAAAAAATCTTTTTCTCGCGATGTCCACCCCGCCGCGCGCGCCGCCTCGCCGCCTCCTCCACCGCCGCTCCCTCTCCAGACACGCCGCCGCCCACCCGCCTCCTCGACCTCCCCACGGAGCTCCTCGTGCGCGCCCTCTCTCGCTGCGACCCCGCCGACATCGCTCGCGTCGCGGCCGTCTCGCTGCTCTTCCACGTCTCGCTTGCGCTGGAGGGCATCCGCTTGTGGGCGCAAGAGCGCGGCTTCGAGCTGCCGGCGCTGCCAGAGGGCGAGAGCTGCGCCGTGCGGTGGCTGTGCTTCGCTGCGCTGCTGTGCGAGTCCAACCCGCCGGCGAGGGCGGCGGCAGGGCGAACGGCACAGCGTCTTCATCGTCGGCGAGGGGCGGCTCTCGTCGTGCGGCTGCCCGCCGGATCCCGTCCCAGGGCTGCTCGGCCACGGCGAGGGCGTGACGCAGCTCAACACGCCAACCCGCCTCCCCTCCCCGCTGGGTGGCGAGCGCGCCGTGAGCGTGTCGGCAGCGCCTTGAGGTGGCAGTCGTACTTGAGGAGCAGGTACGCGTTGTACGGCACAACCCACGAGTTGTCGATGAGCCGCACGCGCTCCGTGTACGTGTTCTTGGCGTTGCGCGTCTTGTACTCGTATGTGTCGTGCGCGCCGCCCTGCCCCGGAGCGCGGCGGCGGTAGCGCGGGTAGATCTCGCTCTCGGACCACGTCGTCGCGCGCTGGAACTCCTTGGGGAAGTGCTTCTCGAACTTGCCGTCCTTCATGCACTTAGCCTTTGGGTTGGCGGCGCCGCAAACACGGTGGAGCATGTGCTGCTTGACGAGGCGGTCGAGGCGCGCGAAGGTCGCGAGCGCGGCCTGGTACGCCTCAGCGTCGCCGGCGAAGTCCTCCTCGCGCGGCTTGGTCGGCAGCTCCGCGCTCACGATCTCGTCGATCTCGTCCGCGGTCTTCAGGCGGTCCTCGGGCTTGAGGATCACGAGGATGTGCGCGTGCGGCAGCCCGCGCTTCTGGAACTCGACGACGTGCAAGTGCGCGATCGAGCGGCCGAGCACGCCGTCAAAGTAGAGCTCGTGGAGGAGCGCGTCCAGCTTCAGCTTGAACACACGGTCGACCAGATCCGGGCGGTCGGGCGCCTCGAAGCCCGGCGGCAGCGCGTCCTGGATCTCGCGCCAGCCCGGGTTGCACGTCATCGTCAGAAAGAAGCTCGGGCGGCCGTGCTTGCGGACCACGGCCATCGCGTCCTGGTACCGCTGGTGCATGTTGCGCGGCCCGCCTGAGAACGTGGCGGGGAGGATCACGCGCTTGCCCGCCTGCACCGCGTCGCCCGTCGTGTGGTCGTGGGCGGTGACGGCGTCGCGCAAGTTCTTGTACAGGTCCGCGCGGATCGTCGCCTGGTTGTTGCTCACCCAGCGGAGCCGCTGCGTCTCGACCTTGGCGTACGACATGCAGACGTACTCCTGGAACAGGCGCGTAGCACGAAAGAGCGCCTCAGGCGCCTTCGGGTCCGGCGCGCGCTGGTGCAGGCGGTGCGCGTAAAATTGGCGCGTGCTGAGCTGGCGCGGCTTTTTTCGACGAGGCGCACCCGCAGAAGGCGCCGCCGCAGGACGATGGCTTCTAAGGAAGCCGTCGTCTGCGCCTTGTCTGTCGTGTGAATCGTGCGTGTCCCACGGCGTGTACGGTGAGCCGGTGTGTGTGCCAGTCCGCGCCAGTCCGCGCCCTTGTCGTGCCAGTGTGCTGTGAGGGCGCGATTAAGAATTCTTTTTTATTCGCGCGGTTGGAAAAGTCAGTGCGATGTCGGCCCGCCTCGAGGCTCCCGACGTCTCCAGCTGCCGCTCAAACAAGGAGAAGCTGGCGGTGCTGCGTGCCTACCGCCAGTACAACGAGGAGCGAGACCGCGCCGCCGCGACGCACATCATCCGCGAGAAGCTCGACTTTTCGGCGGGGCCGCCCGACCTGACAAACGTGCCGCAGACCTACGCGCTCGAGCTGCTTCGCGCGTACCGCAAGTGGCTGGACGAGCGCGCCGGCTACGACGCCGCCGCCTCCGCCGTCGCCGCCGCCGACACGCAGCCCGTCTTTGGCCAGGCCATGCCGCTCAAACGGCCGGCGACGGCGCGGCCACAGCCGGCGGCTCCGTCGTGGTGGGGCGACGAGGCGCCGCGTCCGCCGCAGTCAGCAGGAGCCGCGCCGCCAGCCGAGGCTGGCCACGCCTCCGGCGCCGCCACGGACGCTGCATCAGTCGCTCCGTCCGATGTCTGCGTCGACGGCACCGCCACCGCTGCACCGCCGTGCGAGGGAGAAGCGCTGGCGGGGCCGCCGGCGACCCCCGCGGGCCGGCCGAGCACCGCGCCGCGCGTCAACATGCACAACTACCTCGACGCGCCCCGCGAGTCGATGTATGCGCAGGTGACGCTTCCGAGAGGCTTCCGGCGGCCGCGTCACCCGCTGGCCGCACCCACCTGCCGCATATGCTGAGAATCCGCGCGTCCACTGTGGGTTCCACCTCCCTGGGGGATCCGTGGGGGATCCCCTACGCCACACTGGAGCCGAATCACACTGCTGTGAACAGGTGCCGAACCCATACTGTGACCTGGTAGCATATGGGGTACTCCCCAGGGGTCCCCTACCCCCGCACTGGCTGGGAACAGTCCCCGCACCCATACTGTGACCTGGTAGCATATGGGCTGGGGCGATGGCTGCCCTCGCCTCGCTGGGGGATCGCCACGACGGCCCTCCCGCGGGCTCTGCTGCCGCCGACCCCCTCCGTCCCCTTCGCAGACGCCGCACAGCACCGCCGTGCCCTGGCTGGAGCAGACGCTGCCAAAGCCTCGGCCGCAGGGGATACGTGTGCTGCAGGTGCGGTCTCCCGCAGTCTCCCGCAGTCTCCCGCAATCTCCTGCAATCTCCCGCAGGTCCACCTCGCCGAGCACTCTCCCGCAAACTCCCGCACTCTCCCGCAATCTCCCGCACTCTCCCGCAATCTCCCGCACTCTCCCGCAATCTCCCGCAATCTCCCGCACTCTCCCGCAATCTCCAGGTGGCCGCCGCACAGGACCGGCTCGTGCCTGACTCGGTCGGCGCCCCAGCTGTGACCACCCTCCCCCCAGGAACCTTCTAGGAACCCTCTAGGAACCGTCTAGGAACCTTCTCGTAGGTCGGCGCCGGCCTGACTACCCTTCCCTCGGCCGAGCTGCGGCGCGACGTCCTCTTCCGGCGATCGCCGCACGCCTTGCGTTTTCAGCGCGCTGTTTCTTCTTCGTAGGCGCGACTTCCTCCTTCCGGCAGCCGCCGCAACGCCTTGCGTTTTGACGGCGCTGTTTCTTCTTCGTAGGCGCGACTTCCTCTTCCGCCGGCCGCCGCACGCGCCCGCGCGACCCGACGAGCACGCCGACAGCGCTCTGCTCGTCTCCCGCTCTCTGCCCATCTCTCGCCCACCTCTCGCCCCTCTCTCCCGCTAGGTGCGCCTCCCCTCCCCCGCAGAGTGCGATCTCAAGCCCTCTCTCGGCCAGGGTCCCAACTGTTTCCGGGGTGTGGTATGGTGCCCTCGGCCAACCCACCTCGAGACCATACCCCCGCCTTTTGGAAGGCCTGCTTGGGGTACGGTAGGGCTAGCCTTGGGCGGTCAGGACCATACCCCCCCCCCCCCTTTGGGCCGCCGAGGCTACCATACCATACCCCGGAAAGAGTTGGAACCCAGCTCTCCCCTCCCCTCCCCTTAGGCACACCGACCGCAGGGTCCTCCTCGTCGACGTCCCAGTCTCACACGTTGATGGGCGCGACGCGTGGCGCGCAGAGGTCGACGGCTTGCGCGAGGCGCGGATGGCCGCGTCGGACCCGTGTCTCCCCACCTCTCCCCCCCTCTCCCCCCGTAGGTCGACGGCTTGCGCGAGGCGCGGATGGCCGCGTCGGACCGCGCCTGCACCGCGCGGCTAGACGCGTC